CTGTGAGAGGCGATCCACGTGCGTGGTGGGACGGCCACCACAGCCACGCCCCCTGCTTCACGTGCACCTGGTTGTAATTTGGCTATTCGAGAGTGAAAAAAAGTTCCTTTGATGAAACGCAGTTGCCCGCCAGCCTGGTCTAAAAATAAACCACCCTCGCGGTGGCTGGCCACCCCACGCTGTGTCTCCGCATCCCATTGTGTAGCAGAGCAAGAGTCCAGTTTCCTCCAAGTATCCACAGAGAAATGCCAGGCGCTGAATCTGAACCCCGTGAAAGCCGTGCATCCACCACCGGATGAGAGAAATGTAAAAGTTTCCGCGCAAAGTGTGCTTTTGGAGTGTCCCTTGATAGACGACAGCCCACGTGTTTGGCGATTCCCACGAAGGGATGTGTTACGAATGCGATGCTGAAGCACATATTTGTTACGCTTTTCAACTAAAGTTGAAACCGTATACGCTTTAGTATTGTTCGTCCGTCTGTCTGTTGCACTGGGTCACAATAACTCACGTAAAATGATGCAGTTTTTGTTGAGGTTTTAGTGTAAGGTTGTATTGCTGTTAGGAATTTCGTGATAGAAAATCAGCTGTGTTTATTTGGTTGCCCTAAATATCGAAATTCCATTCTATTATTGCGTAGGACAATATGTTCAGGAGTTACATGTCAATGTTGAGGTCTGCCATCCAGGAGAGGGCCTCGGTCGAGAGTTTGAGTCGTGTTGCTATTGTGTGGCTCAGCTCTGAGCACAAACTTATCTTGGAAACCTTTGTAGCAATCCATACACATGCATGGTCTTTTGGCCCCTTGTTTTAGATCTGGGGGTCTATAACAGGACTGCAGTTGCCTCTTGATTTGCAATAAACACCCTATAGCTATTTTAATTAATTAAAATGCCATTCAAGTTCAACAATTATATTGTATGTGTCAAGTGCCTTGAGAGAAGGTGCTCCATAAATATTAATTAGATTAAAATACAATAAATATGATACACATCATATATACGTTAAAATCCCACCTGAATTATGTTAGGGCAAATAAAATGAGTACCACTGTGGGAAATCAAGTGGTTGTCATATGGAGGTACTGGCTGCAACCATAGTAATGTGGATTTCCCACCGCTCACTTACGCTTGAGCAGAGAGACAATGCATAGCACCTATTTTACAAATCCAACATAATTTAATCATATTTAATTTGTGTTATTCGTTGTTGGCATCGTCAAAGTAGAGATTTACCTCCGATTCAGCGTGCACCGCTGGAGGGCAATGCAGGCTGGGATTTTTGAGTCGCTGGATTTAAATATCACTTCTCGTAGGGGAGCAGGCACTCTGTGTTGGCACTCGCCTGGCGAGAATGGGTGTCGATTAAACCTTCACTGGTCACTGCTACAGACCTCGGGGCTGTGATCATTGCCTGTAGCAGCCTGACATTCAGCAAAGCCGCCGTGGCAACTCGGGTTCACGGCTGCACGGTAATTTCAGACGCGCGGGGGGGGGGGGGGAATTACATAAATAAGGAAAATGGTCATTATTTGGCTGTTTGGCTAAGCGCTCGAGGCAGAATGGTTACAGTGAAAATGAATCCAACGAGTATTTTACAAATCGTCAAAAAAATACTTAGAAACAGCTGTTATATAAACAATACACGCATATATTACAATGCCAGGGGGAAAATCTCTCTTTCTATTCATCTCCTCACAACGGCTTGATGTATAACAGACTTTCCTGATATGTAATTCCCAGAGCTTGCAGGGAATGCCTTTAAATTACAAGACTCGATCCACGCAGTGATACAAATGCATCTGCGTACATCGAGTACGACATTGTATGTACTGTCTACCTTAATCGCTCGGCAGGTCGTGTGTGTTTGGGGTAAAGTGTGGGTACTGCTGCCTCTTCCAGCACGCCTGCTCAGCGTGGAGAGTCGGTGAACGTAGCCTCGAGGCAGCCTCTCCAGAGCTCTCTCTCTCTCTCTCGGTCAGGGCCTTCCGCCAGCAGCGGTGTGAGTTGGTAATTGCGGTGCTGCACATTTACCTTACCGCTGTATGTCTGTATGCGTCAATGCAGCGGGTTTCTTCGGCAGTGAACGGTCCTTTGCACAGCAGCGATGAAGTTCCACCACTGTTTAGGATTGCCTTTCGATGTGTGCACTTTCCAGCATTTCTTTGACCAGGGGCACAATTTGACTTGATTGGAATGTCTGATTAGTGTATCCATATATTGCATCCACAGTTAGTGAAGGTTGAATTGCACAGCACTGCATTCTACGTTATGGTTCAGATGTAGAGATAGTGGCTTGCAATCGGAAGGTTATGAGTTCAAGTTCTGTTTGGGGGTTGACCCAGCCTATCATCCCTGCCTGGGAAATACAATACAGACCACGTTGAGGTGATGTCAAAAGTGGATGTCTCATGGATAGTCTCAGCAGGAAATCACTTTAACTTTGATTTATAAAACTGAATGATATTGCATAAATACGTGAAATATATTAAATAATGTATAGACAGTTTTTAAACAAAAGTTATTCGTACATGATTGTATAAAGTATGTATATTCCTAATGACACATTTATCAATAGTTCTTTCCAAATGTATTTGAAAAGACTGTAAATAGAGAGTTAAAAAAATTGGCTTTAGACACAAACGTATATCTCAGTAATATAGTACTGCTTCATAACCTAGCGCACCGCTTACCAATCAATATAGTGTGCTGTTGACTAATACAGCGAGCTGCTTACTAAACAAAAAAATCACCGTGCCGTTAGCTGCATATTTTTCATATGAGTCTTGCTCGACTTGTCAATTCTAAAGTTTTCTATTTGTTGATGAGCCCAATAATTTTTCTAATAAACAAGCGAAATAAAATACCATATCTTGCGTTTATAATAAATAGCATATACTACACTGTAAACATGGCTTACAGTATATATCATAGATAAAATGCTAAGCAGGTTCTGGATTTAATTTTGCAAATGGAACAATGAATACCACCCATGGATTTCCCAGTCGAACTGCTGTTGGAAAAGCAATACAGTCTGATGTACAGTCCTGTATGAATGTCAAGGTCTCTACTAAATAACCATGTGAGAGAGTCATGGTTAGGATCCTGTCCAAATGCAGCTCATCTTTGACAAACGTGCAAACATTTTAAATGTGAATGCCGGGCGGAGTGGTCAGTGATCATGGCGTGCCTTGCCAATGAGCCCGTCATTCAGAGGTTTGATTATAGGCATTAACCATTTATTTCTGTTGTAAATGACCCACGCGTGTTGTCCACTGTGAAGTGAAGGTGACAAGCCCTGTGGCTTCAGGCACGATGATATATTCACTGGGTGCTACTGTCATAGCCCAAAGCCAACATTTATCAATGACAATATTGTACAAAAATATCAATATCATGATTATTCTTTCGATTGAGGCAATAAACTCAACAGCTTTCACCCGATTCCATAAATGACATAGAATGGATTTCCAATACTTTATATGCTCATAATACCAACGAAAAGGACAAAAAAAATGTTCATAAAAGGTTGCATCATGAAGGCACAGCGTATGACCATTGTCCTTGCTGTGATGTCTGGAGTTACTGTAGAGGAACAGGCCCTTGTATTATATCTTTCCTGTTTTGAGTTTGTGTAGGAACAGCCGAGTGAGGGAGAAGCACAAGCAGGCAACCGTATACATGTTGCAGTAACTAATCGCAAACACGGAGAGAGAAACAACCCTTACCACTGCTGGAAAAAAAATGGTCTGCTTCGATCATGCGGCTGTCCGACCACACACTTCACACTTGTCAGTTTGGTGAAGGTCCACCAGCTGCTGGAACTAAATGAACGGACGGATTTTATTAAACACTGCCTTTTGTAAAAATGTAGTAGGCTAACACTTTGGGCAATTCTCCTTCTCTAAAGCAAAGTCAATTCAGCTAAATACGTTTTGGTTTTTTTATTTACCACAATGGCTAAGAATTAATTTTCATCACCTTCAAACAACAAGAACATCCCCTTTACTCATATCACTGTAGTTATTCACGTGTAAATGTATGAGCAAAATCTTTGTCGCAATGAAGTGACCGTTTTATACACAGTGTGCTCAAAAACATTGTAAAAACAAACACCAGATACATTCTTAGCATAGGCCCTGAAGCTCATGTTCTGCCCGCAGATATCTGAAGGATCAGAGCTAAGTTGATTAAAATGTTTTTTTGAAGAAGTATTGAAAATGGTGAATTTTAGAGGCAGCCAGAGGTAATATTTACATTGAAATTTGAAAGCATAGCTTTCATATTTTACATCGTTTTCTTTAACGAGCGGTTTTTGTGGAAACTGGGGCAGAATTGAGTGGTAAACGCGTACAACTGCATAATTCAGCAACACACTTAGATGCAAATTTGGATGATTAATGTTGTTTTGCACATTTAAATATTACTTGAACAATGATCACTAATATTGATTTATGGAGTGTTTTGGGCCAAGTATTACTCTTGTTTCCAGTGGCAATAAATACGATTAGACCACATTGCACGTAGGTAATGTAATTGATGCTTGCCAATATAAGCATTCCTTCTCAATAATGAACAATATTTTGCAGAGAGACATTGCTGCCAAAGAAATGCATTAAATTATACAATGGGTCATGGGTCTGTTTTAAATTAATGCATTAAGGGAGGCTTAATGGTTTTATAATAATTAAACTTTGCAGTGCCAACTTACTTTCCTTGATATTGGTCACAGACAGGTGTGCAAACTATTTCAACAATAATTAGTGCGAAGTCGTCACTTCATTACAGACATTACATCATGTAAAGAATGTGGAATTTCTGCCACCGACTTTGGACCACCAATATTTGAACGTGGAGGCCCTTTGACTTTAGATTGTATTGCTCTACACAGCATCACAGACGTTTGGGTATTTAAACGCATAGCATACAAAAATGGTGAATACATTTGCGTCTTAGTGAAATAAATTGTGATTAATGCCGTAACAACTCTCTCTTCCGACACAGACAACAACAACAACAGCAGCAACCAGCCACAAGCCATCCGCATCTCAAGGACGCGGCAGCGGTGGCGGTGGGGGGTGGTGGTGCTTGGTGGTTGTTGGCGACTTCAATTCCCGGCTCAGTAAACTCCCAGCGCCCTCGCCAAAGTGGGGGGCAAAGAACAGACGCCCCTCAGAGGCCGCCTCGGCGCCCTCACGCGCGAGACGTGGGCGGCATCGCCCGCACCATGCGGGAGGTCGCACCCGCCCTGCTGCTGCTCCTATTGCTCTCCCTCGCGGCTGCGTCCGAGGCGGCCGAGGAACGGCCCCCGGTGGACGAGGGCCTGCCACGCTTCATGTGCAGTATCCCCGGTCCCCCCGGCCCTCCGGGCTTACTGGGGTCCCCTGGAATTCCGGGTCCCGCGGGGTCGGCGGGGATGCCGGGAAGGGATGGCAGAGACGGTGCCGTGGGAAGCAAGGGGGACCGGGGACAGCCAGGTCAGTGGTACAAACACAACGAACACATTCCTCCTGCGGAGGGAGCTGGTAGTAACGTCGGGTTGCTCGGTCAATGGCCAGGGTCAACGGCGGCGTGGTGTATTCCGCAAATATGCCCGACTGTGAGGGCGGGCACAAGCCGACGTGAGTAGGTTAAACATTGAGTTTTATAAGGGCACTACGGGGTGACCAGCCCCTCCCCACCCAGCCCCACCCCTCCCCCCACCCAGCCCCACCCTCCCCACCCAGCCCCTCCCCACCCTCCCCTCCCCACCCAGCCTTGTACTTCTATGCTCCCACAACCATCCTTCCACCTTTCACCTCCCTGCACTGACCAGCGTGATGTATAATCAGAGATCCTCCATGACCCGCAATGTGTGGGGAGGCCCTCAACCAGCAGTGAATTGACAAAAGACTGCACCTGCACGTGCAACTTCGTGCATGCTATGGTAAATGGCCATGGCATCACAGTGACTGACAAATGACACGGGCAACTTTAATTTCAGGCACAAATGGAAAGCCCGGTAAGCCGGGCCTTCAGGGACAGAAAGGACTGCGCGGAGCCTACGGCAAGGCCGGGCCCAGGGGCGTGAAGGGACCTCCGGGTACCGTGGGGCCCTCCGGCCCTCCGGGCCCTCTCGGGATGAAGGGGGTGCGCGGTGAGCGTGGGCCGCCCGGCAGCTGCAAGTGCAGCAACATCCCTCGCTCGGCCTTCACGGCCGCCATCACGGCCAGCTACCCGGAGGTGCGCACGCCCATCAAGTTCGACAAGGTGCTGTTCAACGAGGGCGGCCACTACAGCGGGCTGACTGGGAAATTCATCTGCGCCATCCCCGGCGTCTACTACTTCTCGTACGACGTGACGCTCGCCAACAAGCACCTGGCCATCGGGCTCATGCACAACGGGGTCTACCGCGTGCGCACGTTCGACGCCAACACGGGCAACCACGACGTGGCGTCGGGCGCCACGCTCTTGCTGCTCAAGCCCGAGGACGAAGTGTGGCTCCAGATCTTCTACGCGGACCAAAACGGGCTCTTCGCTGACCCCAACTGGGCCGACAGCCTCTTCTCTGGGTTCCTGCTCTACCCCGACCCCGACTATATGGCTGACTATGATGAGCTTTAACTGCGCAGCGTGAGGAACTCGTTGGTAGGGACTGGTTTTGGGTTCGGGGAAAATGGTGCTAATTTCACTGGTGGACTTATTGTGACCAGGCCTGTATGAGTTGCTGTGCTGGGAAAACTATGCAGCAAGGCTCAGCTCTCTGAGGTGACCACAGCAGCAAAGATTAAAGTCTTTGCCAGAGGTTTCTATGAGCAAGCCTTCATACTAAACTGTAGAGAACCCCATTAATCAGAGCCTGATTATCCAACAAATGGGGTAAGCAGCTGCCTTTGGAGCCATGAGGCTTCACGTTGGAAGTTATAGAGGTTTGCATTGATGGTAGGAAAGAGGCTTGGACCCAAAAACAAAATGAGGCAGAATATTATTTGGACTTAGTGTTCAGTGGATTCTCAATCCAGGTCTGATGAAGCCTCATTTCCACATCTTTGTCTATATACAGAGCCCCCGATTAGTAATTGTTACATGCTATTTTAACCGTGTGTGTTGATACAGATTTCTGCAACTCAGGAATGAAGAGTTTTCAGAATTTGGCTATAGAATAAAGACAACTTGGAGTGTGGTGATGTTAATTGCTTGCCAATGACACTTAATTCCCGTCATATATAGCAGGAGGACCGGTGATGTGGATATTAACAGGACCATTCTCATATAGTGTAAACCTACAGTGAGTGGAGTGGGGGACTGGTGTTGTACACAGGCTGGTCCCACGAGGCATTAAATCCTTTCAAACCGTGTGTGGGGAAATAAAATATGTAAAGCACAGAGTGAATATTAAATAGCTCTGTATCGAATGTTTTTTTGTTCATCGTTCTTAAGGCAATGGAGAGAATAAATGTGGTGAATGCGATAATCATTTTATTCTCTTCTGGTGGGAACATATTGCATTGTAGGTGCCAATCACCAGTTATAATCCATTCCATGTAAACCTGTTTTGATTTTGAGATATGGTATTGCAAAAGTTTTCAGATCAACGTGTATCACCGCTCAAACAAGTTTGCGAGTGTTGGTGATGTTGAGCCCGTTGTACATTCTTCGGACAACGACTGTTGGACTTCTCACGAAGTGGCACTTACTCTCTGAACACCCGAGGGGGTTGGGTTGAGCCGCCCCCACCGCCCCCCCGACTGGAATTTGAACTTGAAACCTGCCGCTGTGCCCTAACCGTAGCATTACCAAGCCGTGTAAACTTCGATTTCAAAACTCTGTAAAGGTAAAGTCACGTAGAATGGAAATAATAAAATAATAAAAATATAACATTATAAAATAATTATGTCACGTAAAATGGAAATAATAAAATAATACAAATTCTACATAATAAAATTATGATGTTTTAATTGTATTACTTTATTATTTCCATTCTACGTGACTTTACCGAAAGAACCAAGAAGATGAATCCCTGCAGTCACGAAAGCTTTAAATCGAAACTCTGTAAAGGTAATTTTCCAATATCTGACATCAGCCATAAATACATTGCGTAATGGGCTTGGCTGGGCACTTGAGCTGGACTCGATGCATGCCATAGATTATAATAAATGCCATGACCTGACCTGCATGGGCAAGATTGGTGACCAGCACGGAATTGACTGTGTTGCTTAAATGGCAAAGCGTAGCTGGCGCGACTTGTGTAACGCTAAGCCATTCCACATACACCATCAACTGAAAGCACAACAAGCCACCTACACAAACATGGCATTTACGTTAAAGTAAGAATTTCATTGAGGGCCAGTTTTTTTTTAATTAAAATGTGTTTTTGAAGAGTACAAAACAGTTTGATGTTAACATCAATTTATTTTGCTGTTGGTTATGGAACAGCTATAAAATAAATAAAAACATGTTCTCCAATTGTATTGATGTATTTTCTCTTAAGTGAAGTGATTCTGAAAATATTACCAGAGGGAATTGAATAATGGGAACCCACCTCTATGCACATGAATGAATGAATTAAGTATCAGGCCAATTTGGCAGTATCTTTTTTTTAATATAGAAAATGGTGAATTACCTAAAAATGTACCATTCTTTCTCAACTAATTTGGCATGAAAGATCCATAAATCCGGTCCTTGCATATACTGTACTGTATATCATACTCAACATAAATAAATAATCAACAAACCGGCAGGGCTGCGTTTTAATTCAAACATCCTATTTAAGTCCTGCCAATGTGCCTTTATGATGAAAGGGTTTTGCATTCGCTTCATCACGGTAACCTCCTCGACTGGTTTCACTGCCTCTGGGCCTCATCAGCGGGGGTGGTCTGTTGATCAAACGATGTTAGATTGCCTGCTGTTATAGACAAGAACTCTGCTGGAACAATGCGGTACCCATATAATGCAGTCCAGAAACATTGCACTGTGTTGCTTGCAAATGGGTAGTCAATAATTTAATAGAGGAATATGAAAATGAAAATTTTAAATGCTCTGTTTTCCAACATAGTGACTCCCAACACTAGTTTCTGTTTTATATTGTATAAGGCTTCCAAATAACCATAACAAGGCATGTTTGCAACATTATCAGTGTCTTACATACACAGTCATAATTTATTTTAGGAGGGTTGAGAGTGATTGAGGCGTCTAACCTGCTAAGGTTGACAGGTATTTAAAGACACATCCACCAAGTGCTGCAAGTTAATTAAGAAAAGCTTTTGTTTCGTGCCAAAAGCATTCCATCCCCAAGTCGTTTTAGATGCTGATCTCTGATCAGCCTGCCTGGATTCAGAGCAAACCAGCGCCAGGTCACGTCGCCTTCGCGTGGATCAACTTTGTTCACAAATTCCAAGGAAAATCCCACGCGCAGCTTCAGGCCTGTGGAACCTCATCACTCACCAGATTGTAAAACCAAATGGTCTTCGCCAGTCAAGATTCGAGGCATGTGTAGATTGGAGTTGACCATACTTGCCTCCAAACCCACAGGTACAGGAGTTTGATTCGTTTTGTAAATTATTATTATTCTAATTGTGCTATTGATGCCATGTCATGCGTAGTGAACAGCCTGTGTTAGAGAGAGACTGATGGAAGGTAATTATTCGCGGAACTACCTTTTAATTCCTTTCAAGTGACATCTTATCCCCACTTTAGGGTTACTCAACTTTCCCATGCACCGTGCCACAAAAAATGGTGTTCACATGGCAGTCAAACTTATTCGATGTCATTCTCACACCTGGAATTTTGTCAAATTAAATAAATAACCAAAATGTAACACGGTTGGGACCTTCAGCTTGCTAATCTTGAGAGCCCAACTTAAACACGGGCGGCTGGCAAGACTCAAATCCAGGATATCAGCGGTAACGGATCAAGCGCTCTAACCCTTGTGTTACCCACCCACCTTCACATGGTGTGAATTTTTTGTCAAGTTTGTGAAAATCTTGAAAAAGTGTATTCACCCACTGCTGGATTTTACGTGAATATATGTACATTTGTGGATTGCCAGATGGTTGACAAAGCGTGGGTACCATCGCTACTCTATAAGTAACCAAAAAAGAATTGAAAAAAAGGTCAGATTACAGGTGAAATAGTGAGGCCCCTCTGTCAACGTGCAATGGTTTGAGCAATAATAGCATATTTAAACCTTTCATGGTGCTATATAGGCCTCTAACAAAGGGTTTTAAGTACTTTAATTCCTCAGTCCAGTGTGCATGATGGTCCACACTAGGTTTCGTGGAGAGATAGTCATGCGTAGCCGGATGAAATTCATATCAAAACTTTCCATCTTGAAAAGTTAAATATAAAATATCAAAAGAAGGCTTACCTGCAAGTATAGTTCGAAATAAGTTGAACATACATGCACAGTAAACTATAATTAAGAGCAGTACACTTTAATGGAATGCCATTATTGTGTCTCTATAGTAAGGTTGATCTGTGATTTTAATACAAAAACACTAAGTTATTTTACCAGCAAGTTGTAGCATTCATAAGTGTTTATAAAAGAGTTTGGGTACTGACGTAAGACAATTTATTAAGGCTGAAATATCCTCATTAAAACATGATCAATGAGAATGTCAAATGCTTATGGACTGTAAGTATGTACCATAGTATGGTTGCTGCTTTATTAAGCACCTTTAAATTTACATTGTCAGGGATAGAGTGGTGATGCAATGGTTTCCACACACTACACTATGAACCTGAGTTAGATTCACATACCTGTCCACCCCTTATCAGTGCCCTACCTTATTACAGATCAATTCAGACTTTATTGGTCACCCCGTGCCCTTATAAATCTCAACGTTCATCCTACAAAGTTCCATCATAAGAGAGACCACGCAAATTTTTGTTTAATTTTTTTACTCAATTTCCCTGTACAAGAATACGGGTAAACCGTATGGGTTGACAGGGATGGATTCGTGACGAACATCAGTTGTGGGGCGATATCTGAACTGCTCCCGGGCCTCCCTTCACCAATCTTCACTGATGAGTGTGGTGAAGTGTGATCAAACAACCCTCATGGCTGATATTGTGCGCTGATACCCTCATCTGGCAGTGGGTCCTTTAATCTCGATTTAGTATTTCGTTGCACAGTGTCACAACACAGAGCTGTGGATCCGGAGTTCTATACCTCAGAGCTTTATTCCCACCTTTCCATTTCAGTGGATTCAGAAAACTGCTCCAATAGAGGAATGTGTCAAACAACATATTTAATGTACTGGAAAACAATCGATTTTAAAACAAATCTAAATATCTAAACAACAAAAAATAGTTTTTTTTAAAGAAACTAAAATGATCTATTTTAAATGTTGCGATAAAAAAATGTGAATTGAGGAATTTCACACCAAGCCTTTCAGTGTTTCTGGAATTGTGACCCGTACAATTCTCCCTATTAGCAGCCAGCCCTCAGTAGGTGTCCCCACTGAAGCAATTTGCCCAAGAGCTGTTGGGCTCCATCAAATGCTGATGATTTTAGAATATGCTTTTGGATATCTAGGCTCTCGCCAATGCAACCTACATTCCACGTAAAGATACATGTGCCAGCATCACACACTAAATCCATGTGCTCAGTGCACAATTGAAAATTAATTACAACATAAAATGCATTTTCTACTTTGGAATTGGCAGTCAAACTCAACGTGTCTGGCCAGGGTTTTATTTAATAGGGCAATGTGGGCTTTGCCACTATTGGAATTATTATGATAATAATAATAATAGAAAATACTGAATTACAAATGCAGATGAAGGCTTGTGTCCAACCGGAGGGCAAAGGTGGCTTCCCACTGTTATTATATTAATTTGTGACACAATACACTCCTCGCGCCGACGAATATGATGCTTTACTGCAAGGATATCTGAAAGGATACAAAGGGAAAATGTTAAACTTTGGTGGTCTGATGTGTATTCCACCTTTCTATTTTATGGGGTTAGCATGACTATTCTAACAGGTGTCCTTTGAGTTAAGACAGGATTAGTATTCAAGTGATAACTGTCAACTTTAATATCTGTAATATATTTAAACTAATGGTTCACTCGAATGCACTACCTGGAATGTGTTGTAACAATGGAGTGTAGTACACACCAACAGTTCCACAAGGCTTGCAAATACGTTAATATGCAGGTGACAGACATTCAGCACCACCAAATTAGGTAGTCCTACATCTCATGCCATTGGGCCTTGTAGCAGCAGGGATTACGTTTTATACTCAAAAGAGATGTTTCAGCATTCTTGGATGGATCATAACATGGCTGTGGAAACTGAAAAGACATTAAATTCTAGGCACATTGGCAAACACATGCGTCGTATTATGGCACGTAAGACCGGTAGGCTTCAGAACTCGTTAAAATGAGTGCACCTTTCCATGGCCCTCTTTGAAGTGAGCCTTGGGTGTCCGTGCGTAAAATTGGCAGATTCCTACTAAAGGTGCTCGTACAACCCTGTGTTGAATTATGGGATGGCATTGCAGTGACGTCACAGCACTTCTTTATGGGAAAATGGAAAAGCCATCACTCTCAGCCACACACAACTTTTCAGCCACCACCATCACAAACTTGGCACTGACACATTTCCGTTCCCATTATATAACATTGAGGATTTTTCTGCTGTATATCATCCTGTTACCCCTGTTACATTAGCTTCACAGCAGCTCGTTTGCAGTGTTGTCCTCATGAGTTGTCCTATTGCAGCATTGAGTAATATTGCTGGCTGCAGCATTGGCTATCCAACAGTTGCTGCTCAGTGCCCGTGTGCAGCTTCAAGTGAAATGTACTTTTCAATCTGTAATGTTTGACTACAAAGAGGAGATCTCTTCACCTGCAAGAACCTCGAGTATGTATTGCCATGTACGGTTGTTATCTCTTACCAACACGCACCGCTGATTAGCATGGTTGGCTACATACGGCGCTATAGAAGTTAAACAAACATACACTAATCTGTTTGGAGCATAAAATAGCAAATCACGAACAAAGTGATACAAATGTATTCAGTAATTTTTGGAATTTATAAGTATTTAATGTACAACATACGCAATTCAATTTATAATGTTAGAAACTGTATTTGTTTTGGTTAAATGGCATAATAATGCAGCATGAAAGTTTCCAATGAGTGTCTCCGGATCACACTAAAATTCATCATGCGAGAGTCCTCAGAATAGACAATATGTGGTCTATTGTTACTTGCCTTAAAGAGAACGCAACGCCGCATGGTGGCAGGGGCGCTGATAGCAGGAGACATTCTTTTAGGAATCACTATTACCACTCGACACCAGACGGAGATAAGGTGAGGTAGGAGAGCCACGGGACACTGTGTCTTGCCACCAAGGAAATATGGAAAACATTGCTCTCCCTCCTTCAGCATGGCTGGGCTCCACTTTCAATGTCAATTCTCTTCGAGGTTGAATTCACATTTAAAATGCCAACACAAGTGATACATCAATTGAACCATGGAATTCAGTTATGAATTTTAAATACAACGAATTTATTTTTTTACAGCATTTATTTGTTAAAAGCCTGGATGTCTACACTGCCCAAATGTATATCCCCACATGAGTCCACAACAACGATATCAATGTTCGACACTAAGTGGACAAATATGATAATTACATGGACAAGTAAAACATTAACACAAATGTGAGAAAGTAATTGTGGGGGATAGGTATACTAATTAAGAAGATGCAGCAGAAATAATGTCTTTCCGGCAAAAAGTTTGCAGCGTACTGTATATCATTGTGATGGTCATTTATGAATTGAATAGGCTTGAGTGTCAGATTTTAAGAGCTGTCACGGAGTCGTTTCACTGTCAAAATTACTCCCCAAGGTCATGACTATCCAACACATGCAGATATGAGGGTTCTCAAAGCTGGAGATCTGTGAAAAAGAGCTTCATAGCTCATCGGATTCCTCCAGTCCAAATAGAGATTCTGATTCAGGTTAAAACTGTATTTTCTCTACGTTCAGCACCAAAAGTGGCCATTCATTCTGAGAATCGGCAAATACCTTGGAGAATAAACTATAATCTCGTAAATAAATTGAACAGGACTATCACACAATATCATCTTGAGCTCATTTTGATTCTATGCAGATGTCTCGGGACACCCTTCATACTTCCCTCAGTAGCATTGGAATTATGAGCCAGATTTGATAAATATTTTAAACACAAACTAACCTTTAGGGTGCGTTAATAAATGTTTCGTAGATGTGGGGATACTTAAAGCTGTCTATGAATATGAGTTTGATACTTGCATTCTTATGTTGTAATCTAGTTATTAAAATTGCATTCGTAGCATGTTTGATGATTGCGTTAAAACACGTTTATACAAACTTTGCTTTTTAATTCCTGGCAGTATTATTTCTGGCACGAATCAATGATAGGGCGATTAATCAAATTAAACGTCCAACTTTATACACACATCCCATGTCACATTTCATAATAGGGGCCAACTGGATATTGAGTGTTTACTTTCACACGCCACAAAGTAGGTCAGTGACCCTCTCTTGCCAACCTGTGGTAGCAATAACAACGCACAACTCTATGGAAAATGGGCAATTGACCTGGGTGGAGTTGATAGGATGTCATCTATCTTCCATTCTTCCATTAATACTGGAGCATCTTAAGTCTCTTTTTTAGGAACTCAACACGGGAACCTTTGGCAGAAAGAAACTGGTTTCATTGATTCGGAGCAGCGTTATTGAGAACTTTGTTGACAAGGAGAGTAAGATGACCCATAGCAGGGTTTAATATCTTGGGGAGTCAAAGTTAAAGAAAATGACAGCTGGAAATGATATCCAGGCATTAAGCACTTGGTTTGTGTTGCTTGCTTTCTAAATCTTTCGACATGCTCTCTAATGCTTCACTCGAGTATATGCTATTCCACACAGGGATCTTGCATGTGAAATATTAATACTTGATGAAGTCATCTGCTTAAACAGTTTCAGTGAAATGAATTTAAAATAAATTGGAAACTTGTAAGATTCAGCGCCAATGTACAACAAAGATCTACATGGAATTGAAAATGTACTGAACCCAGGCCAAAGAACAGGATGGATATAACATTGAGACAGTGGCGTCATTAGGGTTGGTGTCACCCAGTGCGTAACTCATGGTGTCACCCCATGGGCCTCCGCCCGTAGCAGACCATACAGAATCCGTAGTCATGTTTTTTTATGCTGATGTTACTCAGAAATCGTACTTACCGTATATCACTTAATTTAATGGCAATAAGTGACATAAACAACTAGGAAATTAAAATTATTTCCTTTAATTACTACTTCATTCTCAAAAAAAAATTTACATGTAGGTTCACAAATACTGATTACCACAATATTGTAGCTAAAACACTAGAAAATGTGACAAAATCAACGACAATAAAAACACGAGAAACAACGAAACAACAGCGCGTGCTTGTGGCGCGTGCAGACGAAACCACTTGACTCGAAGCGTCACTGTAGTAACAATGACAGCTCTCATCGGAGCGCATTAGAAGGTTCAAAAAGTAAATTAGCATCGAGTTTTAGCCTTGCAGGTATATTAATACAGTACATGTAAGCTGGGCTTACGAAAAAAAATTGTTGTTACAACTAACTACAGGGATATTTTTATTTAAAAAAAATTCTGCTGAAACACTGCACATAAATTGCATACACAGTCATTTTGGTGTCACCCCTTCTGATGGTGTCACCCGGTGCGGTCCGCGCCCCCCGCACCCCCCTAGTGACGCCACTGCATTTCGAGGCTGTTGATATCATAATTCTGTATTTTTTTCAGTGATGTATCTCATGTTTTTACCCATAGTGGAGGGCCTTTGGATCATTGTACAATTGGTACTATATATGTAGTTGCGTATCCATAATCAGAAACCCTCCTATTTCAAAACAGCAACATCATGGTAGGAGTTCTTGAATTAGTATATATACAATAGAGTTACAGTATTTCAGTCATGCAAAATAAAATATTGTCTAGTAGTACAATATATTGCATTGTATAATCATCACCGTTTTGAATGATTGTTTAAACCTATATTTTATATTTAAAATGGTATTTTTGAGAAACTGCCGAGTAGCGTCTTTCACGAGCCTCATCAGATGTCATCTTGGCACTGTTGGTGGTACAAGTCGTCAGAAAGTCCACACATCTCCAGGTCTACCTACACCACATCTCCTCTCTAGCCTGTGCAGTGCTCATTTAGCCCCCTCTATCCGGCCATATCGATGCTGCTTTGGCATGCAGTGGTTAGGCATTTAGGCTACATGACACGATTCAATCTGGAAACACCCATGATATAAAGTTGTTGGTTTTTAATGCAAACATATACGAACATAGACCCATATGGCAGATTTGAGCCATTTGGGTTTTGGAAAAAAGCGCAACCTAATAATCTGCGAATATATTGCGGATTAATTTAGCTTTACGTGATGTGCTTCCCCCACAATCCATTTCTTTTTTAAAGATTAATGGAATATAGCAGCTAATTCCTTCTCTAAACTGGAGAACACTGTCGGCACAATGTATAGGTCAAACTGTGGTCTGTTTAATTTAACTTTTGTGGATATCCCTTTTACTTGTAAATGCACAATCAACGATTGGTCTGTATGACTTTATGTTGAAATATTAGGGGTGATTGCCAGAGTGATAATAAAGCCATACCCTGTTTCCAATTCAACCCGAGCTCATTACAGTTGATAATTTGCACAGGAGTGGTGGCCAAGTGTGGGTAGGATGTAGAACAAGAGGGGGGTAATATAACCAGACATCCCCTTCAGTGTCTTAGTATAAGATGATTAAGGACTGGACCATGCCATAAACATGTGGAATTTACTCGACGCTTAGTAAGCCGCGAATAGATTGTGAAATGAAGGAATGTGTAGTTGAACAATCACTGCTTTAAACACGTTGACTTGAATTTTAAGTTTACATGTTAAATCAACCACTTGGCCCCCAAAGGGAATTTCAACTTTTGGCCCGGAACCTTTAAGGTTGGTTTTCGCAGCACTGCATCCACTTGTCATCAGTTTAATTCCATTTGTCACTACGGTACAACTTTAGTTTGACGGTTTGAAACCTTCATTTAGCAGCAAAATGATAGTCTGATGATGATTTCCATTCGCCAAACATGTAATGATTGATACAACGAAAAATCGATAACCAAATACGTGTTTATCGTTTGCAGTTTTGTTAATTGTTATAATTATCCAATTTACATAATCCAACAAAACAGATGATTGCAAAACAGAATTGCACCCAGCCTATATGTTGAGCGTGCGGTGTGGATTGCATTGAATTGCAATGGGTGAATGAGTTTGAGCTCTCCCACAGCGCAGCCACGAGTACGTGGGGATGCAGCAACAGCAGCGCTTCTACCAACAGTGGAAATACAACAAAGCAGATCCAATAAGCAGACACTTCGTATCGGCCCCACGGCCTTTAACATTGTTTCATCAGCAGAGCCTGGCAGGCAACCAACGCTGGGTGACCTGCCAGCTGGCTTTAGAGGCAAGGACTGGTTTCAACATTCAATGTCACATCAGCAGAGCCTGTCAGGCTTAAACTAACGCTGGGTGACCTGCCAGCTGGCTTTAGAGGCAAGGACTGGTTTCAACAATTCAATGTCTCATCAGCAGAGCCAGGCAGGCTTGAACCAACGCTGGGTGACCTGCTGGGTGACCTGCCAGCTGGCTTTAGAGGCAAGGTCTGGTTTCAACCATTCAATGTCTCATCAGCAGAGCCAGGCAGGCTTGAACCAACGGTGGGTGACCTGCTGGGTGACCTGCTGGGTGGCCTGCCAGCTGGCTTTAGAGGCAAGGTCTGGTTTCAACATTGAGTGTCTCATTCGTTTCAATATTCAGACCTGCCAGTCACGCCCCCCCCCCCCCCCCCCCCCCCCGGGTCGCGGAGCGCTCTCTCGCCTCTCGTCGTTTACGTTTCCGATTACGACCCAACCGGAAGCGCTCGCGGAATTCTGGGAGCAAGATTCCCCCCCCCCCCCACCGGAAGTGTCTCCATGGAGACGGCGTGCGGCTGCTGCATGAGCGGCCCTCAAATTCGCCTTCTCCCCGCTGCTTTCTCCCCCCTCTCTCTCTCCTCTCTCTCGCTCCGCTGACTCCGCTTCTCTCGCCGTTGCTGTCTCTCGGTGGTTCCCTCGCGAGGCTGCCCGTCCGCGGTGAAGAGTGACGGCCCCGGGGCTGACGGAGCGGCGGCGGAGCGCGCAGCGATGAGCTCGGAGTAGGTTGTGGAGCGGCCTCCACGCTGCTGCTGCGGCTGCGGTGGTCGCCGTTGTAGTTTTGTTTTAAGTTCCAAGCCACGTTTTGAATGTTCACTTGTTCGGGGCCGTCCATAAATGACGTCACGCGATTTTTGACGATTTTGACCCCCCCCCCTCGTCACACGGCGTCACAAAGCTCTGCCCCCCCCCCCCCAAAACCATATTTCCATTTTGAAAATAAAAATGCTTCAAATCGCTTTAAACTATTGTCATTGTAGTGCGTATTTAATGTGGCGCTGCACTCTGATGTTATAGGAGAAAATATTAAAAAGTCTATTTAATTAAGTAGAACGTGTTGTCTATAGTTATTTAAAGTTGCGCATTTTGATGTGACGTCACAAATGTGTGACCCCCCCCCCTAGGTGCGTGACGTCATTTATGGACGACCCCTTATGCTGCAATGACCCCGTTCTTCTTAGTCATTGAGCGCACGCTGTGCTGATACCGAGCCACGACTGGGCATGTGTGCAAAAGAGCTTTATAGCTCATCGGATTGTTTTGATTCAGACGATGACACGATGGGTCGTTCCATATGAATATTTTTGGAAATTGCCACATGTTTTTTTATGATGAGGATAAATAAATTGGTTTATGTTACATAATGACAGCTTTCTCGAGCCCAAACTAAGTTCTGATTCTTTTTGGAGTCTTGACATTTTATTGGTATTTTGTCATCCTCTGTAAATATTCAGAAAATCCAGCTTGAACCTCAATGAATTGATAAGTTGGTCAAAAAAGTCAGGTGCTGTTTAATAAAGTTATTCACTTTAAATGCACACATGCAGTGTATGAAATGGCCAACTTGGCATTGTGTATATATAACATGTCCAACATGTGCAGTATATAAAATGACCAAAATGGCTAAGTTCACATCTCTTTAATGTTCAAGTTTTCCGCACATCCGATGACCATGGTTGGCTACATACGATGCAAAAGAAGATCAACGTACATATAGTGTTCGATCAAACATCCTTATCTCATAGAATACATGATGGTTAAAGCTGAGTTTATGGTTTTCGTGTACATGAATCACTGAATATAAATTTGGCTTTAAATCCAGTGTAACTAATTTTTTTAAACAACTGCCCTTCTAACAGTGAATCAAATTCCACGTGTGCTCTCTGAAATAACAATGCAATGTTAAATGAGCTGAAAAATATTGTTTCGAAAACAACAAAGTTACTGCAGAACTTATGGTAAAAGCGTGCTCGTACTTGCACCAATGTAAATGCTGTTCACTGTCTTCTGCCAGAGAAATTCGGGAGAGGTTGCGGCTGCGGCTGCGTCAGAAAAACCTGCAGGGCAGTGGCCACGCGACGAGGAGTGCTGTGAACACGGCTGACACCCAGGTGAGTGGGCACCACACGAAGTAAGTAGTCAGGCGTTGTCGCTCAAGCATTCCCACTTGTGTAGGTATCTCTCAGGGTTGTAGTGCGTCTTAGTTGCAGGACTTTATTACTGTCAAAATGTTACATTGCTATCACGGTGCGGTTGGATAATTTACGCGAGTGCTCGTTCACGTGAAATAGGTTTTGTCGGAGTTTTTTTTTATTGATTCGTGGGACCGTCCAAAGTGCATTCAACATTTTCTCTCATAACAGCTATACCATGCGTTCCACCATTGTGGTTCATTGCTCAGTTATTTAATTTGAAAGCAGAAAGAAACAAATAAATGGCAGCAATTATTTGTTCTGGAAAATGTAATGCATTTGCAATCATTAAACCACTGCCTTTTTCTGATGTGAAGTGTTAGAATTTAAAAATATACTGGAACTGTTTATTGTTGCAGGTACAGGAATATGTGGAAGAAGAAGCTGTGGAAAATCTGGCGGGCAAGGTTTGTATTGGTTTTGTTGTAGAGATAGGTATTATTGCTGTGCTCGAATGATTGCAAGTCACTGTGAGTGAAGGGTAGCTCACAATGCGGCTAATAAAAGTAGTGCTGCTAATGTGCCGATTTGCAGGATGACGAGGAGCAGGTGGACAAGCTAAAGCAGACCCTCGCTGCCAGGCGGCGGCAAAGAAAATCTCAGGTGAGGCTGTGCAACGGTTCACGTGGAACCTCTGGTAAGCGCTCGCCTCAATGTCTTATCTAAGAGAAAGGGCATGTGCTTATACGCCTTTGTAACCTCTTCTCCGTGTTACAGCTTTTCATGTTTACAATGAGTACATGCGGACTGTGCAATGTCTAAATTGTACTTTTGGTGTTGCCTGACAACACCCACAGCCATTATTGTTTGAAATATTATCCAAATACCACCAGGTCATGCAGTGTGGGAGTTCTCCTGCTCAGTGGTTTGTATCACACTGCATCAGGGCGATCAGAACTTCCTGGGCCTGTGCCCATAAGATGCTTCTTGAGGACATCTGTAGAGTGACCGAGTGGGTGCTGCTACATATCTTCAGGTGGAAGTTTAGGCTCGATGTCGTTGCATCTTCCTCGGCAGTCTAAGAGAGCCGGCATGCTGCTCCCTCCACCGCTGGTATGGTTTTGCCAGGGAAACCTAACAGTACAGTAAAGGGTGTCAGTGCTTCAGGTTATACAAAAATATAAGGTTTAGGTAAAGATGGATTTTTGTAGGTATTGACAACAGTCTTTCTCCCCTCCCCATCCCTGCAGCATACAGTAGTTAGGAGTATGTTTCCCTGTGTATGCCCGTGCAGACTTAGGCTGTGGGGTTGGGTCTTGTTGTAGATAGTTAGGCAGCCATATTGGGAGCGGATTTCCATAGTCTAGTTGCTGACATACTACTCAGTGCTCCACAAGCTCAAGGACTCAGCTGGTTGTTATCCATGTCATATAACTTTGTATGGAAACCGAGTGAGGGAGAGCCAGAGCATCTCTTTATCGGTACATGTGGAGGTGGGACAGCCATCCAGAGAAGTTATCTCACGAGTCTGGTAGCATCTGGAGAATATACCTAACAGGAAAAGCAGTAGGTGCGGCCAAGTCTATAAAATCCATCTTTACTTAAGAACTAAATCATAGAAATAATTTAGAAAAATGGTAAACATGTGCCAGGCTAAAAGCACTGTTATTTATAGCCTGTGCTGTACAAAATTTCAAATGTGTTAGCCGCTTGAAAGACAACGATGCGTTTTTGTAATACCACACAAATGCGTAAACTCGTGCAATGTCTGCCAATATCAGTCCCTGTGACATTTCTTCCACATCAAGTTCATCTTATTGTCTACCAACTGATGGATATATGCTGCTATGCACTTGCATTACCTCACAGATGTCTGAATTAGTTCACAGTGTGATTTTTTTTTTACAATAGGCTGGTGATGAGGCCCTGGAGAAGAGTGCATTTAATAATCATGAATGGATGTTTCTGGTCGGTGCAGTTTGTGGACCATGTAGAAGATTTGACCTCTAAAGAGGTTGTGGAAGAATCATCTTTTGTGAAAACTCGGCCTGGTATGAATACCTTTTGATGCATCAGGTTCAGGTTATAATAAATACATTTTGAAGTGATCACGTGTGCCTTTTCATACGCCATAGCTGCTCTGTAATATGATGACCAAAACAAATTTAATCTCTGCTGTTGCACCTTCTGCTTTTTAATCCTGCTATTGATTTAATTTTTAAATCATTTTGAAATCTATATATTCATTATATTGTGGTATTTGTACCCATGTATATATAGTAGATAACTGCTTACTAAACTGACTAATATTAACTCAAAGTCCAAGGATTGCAAAATCTCTTCTTGTTTCATTATTACCTTTTTTTCAGTCCCTTCTCTAGAGAGTACTGCACTTGGTATGAGCATGAGGGAAAGGATGCGAGAGAAAATGATAGCAGCAAAGGTATACAAGTTAGCATGCGTTAAGTTGAAGTACACATTCACAGTGGTAACAATTTATGACATCTGGCGTAAACTGTGACCACTATGTTTAATTTGGCGAACATTTCATTTGTGCACAAACTCTATACCACAGCTTAACACACTCTAACACACTCTTAATCAGCGCCATACACATTGCTATCATCTAGCTCCTGATCGTGTTCAATACTTATCGCTTATCATGTGTTTGAGGCGGACTGTAATTAATTGCTTTGCGAGTAGCATTCCCCAACTGTTCTGCATAGACGTGATGACTTTCCGAGTTAGGTGGCTTAAGAAGTAAGTGATGGATAGCAACTGTCCTATGAGTTATGATGCAACTTTTGATAAATATCCACCTTGAGCATATGACCAAATCAAACGTAATGCACCCAATCCCATCAGATCTCGGAAGCAATGTTAAGCCTGGATAGTAACCCGCATGGGTGACCACCATGTACAACAAGTTTTTATTTGGCTGTGGAGCTACGTTGTGGGCAGCATGCTAATGTGTGGTCAAATAATCTCCAGAATCCGCTCGGCATCGGGAAGCCCTCATCCAGCTGTGGATTGACAATAGGGCCGTACGTGTACATGCACATCCATCTTGAACGTGGCCATGTCTTGTTCGCTGTGGCTGTGAGTATGTTGTAATGAACGGGTGTTTGTGTGGCATCAGAGCAAGGCGGAGAGCTCGCTGAAGGATGAGGAGCGGCGAACTTCCCTGGGGTCTCCTTCGGAACCGAGCCGCCGGAGGAAAACCCGGCTTGATTCCCAGGTACTGTTTATTTAAAACATATTGTGGATGTGTTTTAATGCTCACCATCCCAAAAAAGAGGGTTGTTCAGACCCCGTGGCAGTATATATACATGTGTGCATATATGTGTATATATCGACAAAATAAGTAATCTATAGTTTTAAAATATTTTGCCAAAAATCACAGCTTGCTCCATTTTTTGGGATCAACCGCCAAAATCATGTTTGGGAGCCAACACATTTGAGATTCTGCATTGAAAATGGCCAAAACATGGGAAATCACATTTGCTATTGTGAAATGTTTGAACTATTTATTTATTTACAAAAGGCCATCCAACGTTTACAAGTTCACAGTCATTGTTTGTGTTCAATGAAAAGCTTTTTACTTCATTGAGAATCGTTTATCTAATAAAGTGTTATAATAGTGATTGGACTGGAGTCAATTCAAGAAGGAAACTGCAAAGCCACTGAGGGATAGATGTGTTCAGAAAATATAACGATGCTCGAGAAAAATTGGACCTAAGGCACAAGAAAATATAAATTTTACATATTACTCATTGAAACAGTGTTTGAAGTAAACATTCATAAATGTGAAAGCCACGTCTCCATTGCAAGAAGCATCACATTTTCACATAGTACTCTTGGTTCGATTAAGGGAAATTGCTTAATATATCCATGGTGTTTTTTGCCAATGAGATATTGTTTTAATGCAATGGAGCAAAGACAATGTTATAAGAGATAAAACAAGAAACAATACAAACAAGATAGTGCAGGTAAGACAAAAAAACTATTCAATCTAGGCATGACCACAATCACACACACTCCTTGAATACCTGGGAATATAACATTTTTAGATATCTCCAAAACTGTTTGTGTGTGATGCTAATTGTGGGAAGCGGTGAGGGAGAGATTGTGGGCGGCTCGCTTGGTGGTATGTGAAGGATGTCGTCGTGCCCACCAGCTGTTCTGAGATGACAGGGATATACCAAAAGAATGCTGCCTATTATACTGGGACAGCCTTCTCTTCCTAGAGACATGAAGGAAAATAGTGCAAACCAATTTGAATAAACTTTTCATATAAAAGTAGAATAAAATAGCAAATTTCTGAAAATATAGCACATTATAACCTTAAGGAGGTGTATTTTTTATAATTTGGTCAAACTGGGTGTTTTAAACCAATTTATGTGATCATAATATGGTATATTCGAAAAACTTTTGCTATCTGGATTCATGCCTGCCTGGCTTTATTTATGATGTACCGAGCAAGTGTGTTCACGGTGGTAACGTCACATCTGCGTGATGACATCATCCATATCCCACAGCGTTGAGCCAGGTTCATGCATCGCGCTTCGCGTCATACCTCCCCTGCTAGCCACCCTCCACCCCAGCCATGTATCTTGTGCAAATGTGATAGAGGAGCAAGGTGAGGGAGGAAAATAGAGGGAGGAAGAGATTGAGAGGGATGGGGAGAGAGTGAAAGAGCTTAAAACAGAGAGGAAAGGTAGAGCGAGTGAAATGGCAAGAGGAGAGCGAGGGAAAGCGACAAGCTGTGGGAGGGAGGGTTAGGGAGAGGTAAGAGAGATGGACACAGATAAGGGAGAGGTGGGAATAAGGAGACTGAGGGTGAGAGATGAGAGAGAAACCGCGAGAGCGATAGGGAGAAGCTGGTGTGATACAGTGGAGGGAGGAGGGGAACACAGTATAGAGGGGGAGGGAGAAGAGGGGACAGGAATAGAAAAACAGAAACTGAGACAAAACGATAAATAGAGATACTTTGGGACATGCGGTACAGAAAAGGCAAGAGATATTGAGAGAGGCAGGACTGTTTTTAAGATTAAAAAAAGTTTTGCTGACTGGGTGGGACAGATGGACGGTCACGTCCAAAGGAACTGCACGTTGCTAGTCTAATTAAATCAAAAAGTGATTTTGTAGGCATGTAGTGATATCTTGGGTGGTCACAGATAACTATCAGCTTAAATAGTGCTTGCATAATTGTAGTCGCTCAAGTTAAATTGTACCTTGTCTTGTATAGTAGATTGGAAGATGTGCGTACAGTATTCGCAACAAACTCTTTGTCATTCGACTAGCATTATATCACTCAATGTTCAAAGGAGAATGGATTGGAAAACTTGCTCACACTTTTAGCCACGAATGAGCAACTCACACCCATTGCTCCTGGATGTTTAGTTTGCATGACAAGCACCACACCATGTTCGGATGAAGAGTTGCTTTAGTGTACTAAATAGTTTTATGATGGTTAAACGTTTTTTTTCAGCTCCAAAGGGAAAATGTCTCGAAGACTTGGTTATTTAGTCATGATACATTTTTTAGGTACATTGTGGTCATTGCATATGAATGCATTTAGAATAATGTTAATCAGTAAAACATGAGTCACAGGCTTGGCATGCATGCATCAGTTGAGACTCCATTGGCAAGGAATATGCTGTTGTTATAAAGTCCTCGAGGCTTTCATTTTTAAAATAAATACATTTATTTGGTCATATTTTTACCACACAATTAGTTAAATAGTGGAATTGTCGTTCAGAGAATCTCAGCATAAGATACTGTGAAGGTTAATAACCTTGCTTTTGGCTGGTTAATGCACTAAATTCGATTTCCAAAACAAATGCTGCACTGTCATTCCGTTGCATTGTCCCTTCTAAGTGTCAATTCCAATTTGCAGCTGATACAACACAAGGAGTTATTTATCCAGCAGTAGATAGCGTGGCTAGTGATGGACAAGAACTTCAAATTGTTCGTGGATTGATTAGATTGGAGTGCTTCAAACTTAAAATGTGGGACCATTTCACAGCAACCAAAGTAAAATGGGTTTCAGTTGTTCAACTGTGGCCTCCGTTAAGATTTTAGAATCCCATTGATGGTGACGCTTGGGTTTATTGTTATGGGTCAACAGGACACTTGAGTTTGTTGATATTCTTATCCATGATTGTTTTCACACCATTTATTTTATGTTGAAAAATCGATGGGATGTTTGTGTTCACCTAAAACAGTGATATAAAAATCACGTAAAATCGTATTATCCATGTGTAGTGTTGTAAAGGACGGACTTATAAACTTCTTATGGGACACACTGTTTATTGTCTTATTACACAGTCCTTATCACACAAAGGGGTATATGGTCCCCTCACCCGTTACCCTGAGGAGGTACAGCCTCCGGACCTTGTACAGCTCCACACTCACGCTTAGCTCCTATTCTAAGGAGGACCAGCCTCCGGACCTGCTGTCTGTCTAATCTCCCCGCTATCCTAGCGTCCTCCGGCTTGGACCTAGGGGAGGCACACTGACCCGCCGCTGGCCCGGCGGGTCCCCGACCTCTGGTCGCTCAGGACCTTCGCCCTCACAAGGGCGGGAAGGCTGGGAGCCAGGGTCCTATCCAGGACCTATCTCCCCTGACCACTGGTGACTCTGAGCCCCAGCCCTGACGAGGGCTGGAAGGCTTGGTCCAGGGTCCTCTCTGTCTTCGGCCGACTTGGGTCTTCGTGTAGCAGAACTGGCCAAGAGCTCTCAGCGCTCTGGCTTTTATCCCTGTTTGTGGCCGGGTTGTCCAATCCCCTGCCACCTTGTGGGACCCTCCGATTGGTCCTTCCCAATCTGGCGTTTGGATCCTACCTCATCCCATTTGACCCTGACCGTTTGATTGAGCGGGAAAACCTTGTTTACGATCCGCTCTCACAGTTTGCGAACAGCGAGTAGTTAACACCACTACACATGCATTATCTAGGATAGTGGGGCTATGGTTATAAAATGTTGCTTTCCTCTGCCATCAAATATGACTGTATAGAAGAGCATTGTTACATTGTGCCCCACAGACTCAACCACACTGCTTGATATGCTCATTAAAGATCCACCATCACTGATGACCCTTAAAGTGTCTGTGTTTGTCTGATCCCCAGCGTGATGATGATGATGACGACGAAGATGATCCTGCAGCTCAGATGAATTTCCAGAACCTGGTCAGCAAGGTCAAAGCCAAGGTATTGCCTTGCTACAACTGAGGGATTGGATTGACGATGTATTCACTCTGATTATGTCTTCCCATTTGTTCTCCTTGTCATTAGCCCACTCTGCTAAAGACCAGCAGTCAATGTTAAGTATAAAATTGATGGGACCATGGTGTTCTGCAGACAAGTTTTGGAGTGCCAGGCTTAAATGACACAGATAAGAGCATGACTATTCCTTACTTCTTGCCATGAGCTGTGAGTGTGTTTAAGACCAGAAGTTAGCGTAGACTGTGGAAGTTAGGGGACCATCAGATTGTGGGAACAAGTTTTGGACTGTCAGGCTCATATGGCACAAACGAGAGACCCAGGGAGTTGTTCTCACTTGAGGGCCCAACATTTCCTAATCGGGACATTCAGAAATCTATATTTCACGGTTTAATAGCGCAAGCTCCCCTGCATGTGGATTTTAAAGCTGACATAAAAGAGAGTTTACAAGCTGGGTCCCATACATTTACAAGCTGGCATGGAAAACATTTACAAGATATTGCACATTTAGCAGCCAGTCTGCATGCCTGTTTCATATTAATGTTGTTATTAAGGGTTGGGAATTGTGCTGTGTCATACAGGTTTTGCATTAAGCTTCATACATAAGATATGCCCTTTGTTTAGCAATGAGCAACTGTCTTTTAGCACCCTTCATCAGGCCAAATCAGTGCAATTATTGCCATTACAGGCAAGCAGATGTAATTATAATCACAGCACATGAGTAGCGCTACAATGTGTTATTGGTTAAAGAGGGATGCTCAGCATTGGTGAGTGATGAAAATGCTAATAATAGGGCATCACTGTTAAACGTATTGTGGACATAAAGTGTTAAAAAAGTGAAGAAAAACAACAAATTATGTAATTTTTCGAGGGCATCCCTCGATATACCGATTTGCCCCTGGAAAGTTGTCCATAAGGTGAAATTCTTTATATCGCACCCTATTTTCCCATTGACTTCCATTATATAATTGTAGATGCCTTCCTATGGAACAAAGTTCTGCCCGAAGATGTAATTAAATCACACTTAAGAATGCAGCAAACCTCTTTTTAAGCACATTTAATGGAAAATCGATCATTGTATCATAAAATACATACAATACTCAATATAGTTAGTGAAATAAAACTACTGCACACTACTTGCATCCAAGGTAATTGCTTTACAGTCTCTTTTTGCACTTCTGCTGTTACTTGCACTTGATGGTCTTTCTCCAGACATGTTGAATTACTCTTTGTTTTTTTGGTAAATAAATTAAATCACGACGTTTCGGAGGCAACACAAGCTTCTGTCTTCAGGTGGCACCGTCACAGCAAAATTACTGTATCAAATGTTGACTTACTCTTTCCTGAATTGAGAATGTTGAAAAAAGTGTGAAATCCTGCACAGTAACAGTACCATGCGTGGTTCCACACAAAAAGCTGAACCAAAACGAGCCGAGCTTGGGTGGCGTGAAGAGCATGGGAAACCAGTACAGTGTAAACAGTGCACGGCGCATACCACCTGCAGCAGCATGAAATGCACTCTAGGACAAATAACAAACCCATGCGTTGTTCCATTCTTCCCCCCCCCCCCCCCCCAAATTGCATAATTGAAAGAGTAACAATTCCGTAAATGCAAATTGAACGTTATATATTTCTAATTCATTCCCTCTTCTATAAGTTACGTTATCGCAACATTCTATATGGAGTTGCCGGTGTAATGAGGCATGACTAATCTCATTGTTATCATTATATAAACAATCACACTGAATTCATGCAACTTAAATTGAGATTAACACAGATGAATAAAAAAAAATTAGATGGTCCAAACATGCGTTTTCTGGTACAATTAATGATTTACTTCATGCTCTCAAAATCAGTGAATCTAAAAAATTGTCAGTGAACTCTTAAGAAGACTGAAGAGAATGGAATAGGATAGCAGTTGAAAAGTTATTGGTACAAATATCACTTTTTAGCTTAGAATGTGGGGGCAAATGATGTTGGCAATTGTTCAGACCAAACATGGCCACATGCACACCCACACAAAGTTCATTACTGCCTTCACACACTTGCAAATATACTTTACCTCTTAACTTCCCTAGAATGAGATTGCGATTAAAGAGGTCGTTATAGTCAGTTCCCTTTTAATATTATTTCCCTATCTCTTCAATATCCCATATCTGTTGCAGTCACATCGAATCTGAGAGGTTCGCTCTTACAGTATCTCATCATATGGCTTCAATTCCTTTTTTAATAACCTGCCCTCTTCATCCTCCACAAGTGTCCCACACACCGTAAACTCCCTCTTCATAATTACGTCTGCAATGCTTTCTTTCCACGTTGTTTACTCACAAGGAACATGTGAAATACATGTCCGAAAGAAGAAAGTTCTAAACCAATAAATGAGTGCATTACCGTGCGTTCTTTCTGAAAGACGAGCACGCATGGTAACAAGATCCCTCCCTGGCACTGACGTGATTGAGTGCTCACAGAGCAAGAAGGCACAGGCGGTGGGGGAGGCTGCTGCGCCCAGCCGCGAGGAGGCCTTCAACTTCTTCACGGCCACGTTCGAGGCGGAGCGGCCACCTCGTGACGGGGCTCGGGCTCGGGCCGAGGGGAGCGCAGGAGCTGCTGTGGCCGACAGAGAGGCTGCGGAGCAGGTTTTTCTCATTTTGTATAGGTTAAAACATTTACTGCTCAATTGTCTGCCTCCTCAAATGAGAAATGGGGCAGCAGTTATGTCCATCTGTGGCCCCTGACCTAGCAGAGGAAAAATTCTACATTCCCAGGGACCATTTTTTTTTCTGTATGATGATTTTTTTTGGTGACCATAAAGTGGTACTTATTTTATTGCCGATGGATGGATGGATGATGGGCTGAGTTGATTCCTGACTGCAATTTGAATGAGCAACTCTCCAAACGAGAGTTGAGTGCTATAACCAGTACCACGTGGTCAGCTACACATATGTTATCTGCCAGAAGCAGGAAATCAACATTTTTTTTATCTTAAAATGCTCAACTCATTGAATTACATTATATCCATTCACATGTAAAACTGCGTGACCTGTGTTCATAGGAACTTCCGCTCTCTCAGTTGTAGTGAGTGGATTTTAAAATGTTGTTTCCACCAAAACATGTATTTATTCACTTATTCTAGTTTTGGCTTCATTCCATTTGTGCTGTTCGTCTTAAAAATTGCACCGTGACCAATGAGATTCACTCACATGCCACTCATTACATTCTTGTACCTCTGGCAGTGAGGTACTTTTGGCAAGAGATTAAACCCACATAAAATATGACTTTAGGTCACGCTCTAGTTGTTGACACATACATTTGACGTTTGGGCATGTGAACACGTTGACCTAAATCTGGTTTCAGTTCCTCTTTGTCATTTAAACTGATTGTTCGTGGAGAACATTAAGAATGGCTAACATAACTTTGACAAAATGGTGCGTTTGAAACGTCGTGATCCATAATTTTTTTCTACCTACGTGACTTTACCGAAAGAACCAAATAGTATGGATTCCTGTAGTCACGAAAGCTTCAAATCAAGCTTCTACTAAATTTCATCTTTCTTTTGGGGTTGATAATATCAACAGCGATCATCTTATTGAGAGACTAGATATCCATCAAGGTGAGCACTGCTCCATTGATTGGGCATTGGAGACACTTTATCTTGACTTGAGTTGCATAAAACACGATAACAGTAGTGACATTTTACTTACTTTATTATCTTCACCAGTTAAAGCTAATGGAATACTAATTTAAGGTACTTTATGGAACTAGCTATTGATATGTGTTAACATTTTTTTGTCTTGCATCTGAAATAATTTTGACCTTTTAAATTATTAAGATTTGACCATTGTATTCGCAGTGAATAATCATTGAATACTGCACAATACGACATAGATATACGCACAAACACATACAAAAACACTTTCTCACACATGCACACATGAAAACATTCCCACACAAAGTAACACACGAGAACAATTACACACACTGCCACACACTCGCAAATAAGTGCGTGCACACAATCACACATTGCTTAACAAACATGAATCATGTAAATATATTTACCTCAGCCACAGACCAGCTGAACGCGTGGAGCGATAATGTCACAGCAGCCATGTTCCATCGCGACTTCAAGCTGGCCATTTTACATGAGGGTTGTAATCTGGGCAGCGAATTGAATGGCTTGGCGACTACTGCCCTGTGCCCAGCTTTGCTATCTCGTTTAGGATATGCAAACTTACTCTCTGTTTTACACGAGAAATTTCAGAGCCGATGACAGTCGCTGCCTGGCAGATTGTACATGCTTTTTTCTGTTCTCCGACCCCAGATATTGTATAATCATGATGCCTTTGGGTGGCCTTCATCTAGCAGGGAGCTGTGTAGATACTTAACATGTCCTATCCAGCCTCTTGCATCATGCAGCTTTCACATTGTACCCTTTAAGCTCTTACATGCAATTCACGTTTCTGGCCTCCACATGTTCAATGGTTCACGTGATCTAATTCCTGTTTCTTGTCCGGTTTACATGGGGAGCAGCCTGTGTGTCCCCAGAGACTCAAATCACTGGAGTCGTAACTAATGGGGAGACAGGGTAATGGGGATATGTGGCTATGGTCGGGGAGGGGGATATGGCATCTTGTCTCCCACAGGTCGCAGTGGGGGCGGAAGTGCGAGTTTGGGAGAGTTGACTCATGAGAAGCAGATTCTCACTTGCAGCAGCTGTTGCCGCTTGGGTGAACTGGGAGCATTTCAGGGGATCTGTGGCAGAGCCTGTTCTCCTTGACTGCCTGCTGGCATATTCTCTTACCGTTAATTTCTTTATACCGTTTAAGTCGTGGGAGGACTCCCACGGCCGGCTCTTGTGTTGTTTCCGCTGATGACCAATCTCCTTGGCTACTCATGGTGTGTATCTTACAAAGCGCCCCTGTCGAGCTAAATGTTGCCTGCCTCTGGTGTGCAATGTCTCGTCATGTTCTGATTTAGGATGATGTCCTTTTCACTAATGCCATAATTGCTTATTGGTTGATATCCAGTTGGGAGTGTTGTCGGACGTATCTCTTTGAGGCTCAGGATTATTACTACTTTTGTTTACCCAGGAAAGCCTCGCCATCTGTAAACGTTGCTGTGTGTAATCCTCAATGAGTAATTTGTAGGTCCTCTTTATACGTTGGGATGTTTGGCCAATACCAGTTAAATCGTATGTTTCTTTTAGCTATGGCATGAAACCGGATAAGGGGGATAACATGCAATCTCCACATAGAAGGGCACTAGAGTTAAAAATCGAACCCAGGCCCTTCTTGCCGTGAGGCACAAGTGTTGCCACTGTACCACCCTACTACCCTGTATAATTCCATTTATTACCAAATTACACTTTTAAGACAATTTACCAGTTCAATCCCATTAAAAAAAAAAATTTATGTAAATGTGCTGTTATGCACTTTGGTAGAATACAAAAACAGATTTTTGTTGCCCAACCACAGAAATGTTTTTTGCCATAGCTCGTGCATAATCAGTGTCACACTTGCAATATCCTAATTTTTCCTCTTGTGCGTCGGACATGCAGGAAGAGGCGAGCGAGGAGAGGCCCCTGGTGGCCGAGAGGGCAGGAGATGAGGAAGAAGGGGAGGAGGAGGATGGAGACGAGGCTGAGGATATGGAGAAGCTGATCCTGGGCAACCTCTCTCCCTGGGAGGTTCTGGATGTGGTCCCTGCTGAGTACCAGAGCATCCAGAAGCTCAGCGAGAACGAGCAGAAGATGCTTTACATCCCCAGCGCCATGGCAGGCACGCACACACACTCGTCAACTTGTCTACGGCATGAGCTTGTGTTGGTGTTAATCTGACTGTACTGTGGCACAGGCTTTAGGGAAACATATTTGGACATCTGTAGGACCTCACTCACTGGAATCAATGTGTGGCTGATTAACAATGCTTAAAACCATAAACAGCAAAGAGCATCTTAAGTTTTGTTGTGCGCCACCGCTAGCATTAGGTCCATGGCAATATAACCACCAGGATTTGCGGATAAGAGGATTACAGGTAAGAGGATTCTCGTTGTGTCTGTGTATATCTGCACAGTGCCTGCATCACAGAAGATGCCCCCGGATCAGGAAGTGCGGTACCTAGAGGATGAAGGCTTCTACGTCGGGCAGAGGCCCACAGTCACCCTCACCAACCAGAACATCATGGAGCACCGACTGCTCAAGATGCCCGGGGTCTGTGAACACTCGTGATCTCATGTCTGCATTACCCTGGCAGTCGAGGAGTCTCAGCCTCCAGTTGTACCGCCATGAACTGTGCGACAAGCTATCTGTTTTAAATTATCATTGAAAAAAGCCCATCTTTATAAGCTGCTTTTCGTAGCTAATAAGCAGATTGATATGGTTTCATTTGTATTATAAAATGCTGGTTTTGAATGAAATGGTGTATTTTATATTGTAGCAAATAATCTCAACGATAGTGATGCATTATCATAGCCCTGCAGGTGGAATCTCTCAACCCTGTAAGCAAAGGCTGGTTTACTGGAAAGCACTGCCATAAAGGCAAAATAATAAAAATACATGATCATAATGACTGTAAGAGTTATGTGTGTTACTGCATTGACTGTGTAAGACAAGTAAAGTTTCACTCCATCCCACACCCCAGTGAATCAATGGATGATCACAATCCATGGCCACTCAAATATATTACTTTGAAACTCCTTTGCCTCATTTGCATTGTTTTTCACTTGTTTGGGATGTTGCCTCCACAAACAAGTGCATGTAATTCGCATAGACTTTGCATTGAAAATAAGTTGATGATTCTCGCACACACGATTCGAAGCTTGTATTCTTAGCATAAGAATTGACATTTGATCAACAAACCGATACATCGTTGCATGACTACTGCCTCTCCGCGCATACAGGGCAAAGAGTGGTTCGGTGACGACGGCCGTGTCTTGGCTCTGCCGGATCCCCTGAAGCCGGAGGCGACGCGCCCACCCGATACAGAGCGGGAGGCGCGGGATCAGGGGCTGGAGCTCATCTTCCAGAAGCCCGAGCTGCAGGAGGTGGACACTCGCGGCGTGACGGCGCCGGGAGCTTGCGGCCGCTGCCAGCTCGACGTGGATCTGTGCGGCGTCACGTTCCTGCACCACGCGCTCTTCAGCCGCGAGCACGCACTCGCCTCCCGCCTCAGCCAGCTGTACGCGCAGTACCTGGCGCGCCAGGAGGAGCGCCGCGCCGACATGCTCGACGACAAGGTGTGGGCGCTGCATCGGGGAGTTTTCGTGCACTGGTTTAATGACAATGACAAAACTTTCATTTCATATAGCATCATTCATGCCAACAGCATCCCACAACACTGTACATTGATTATATATAAGGACCAAATCCCATATACACGGTTGATTTTGCATGGTGTGGAAGAAGCCCAACACACATATGTACCAAGCAAATACAAAATTAAATTACCTGAGGATGCTTGGTGCAGTTTCTAACAAAACATCGCATCGAATTGCAAGTTTTTTTAGCTATAAGAGTTTTTTTTACTTACCGGTCGGCTGGAACAATAATCGTTGTACATTAGACGATTCAATTTATTTGGCTATGTCGGCTGCTGGAAGGTTACACAACAATCTATTGTCCAGATCATTGTGGCCTCATACAAAAATGTATTACGAATCATAACACTGCTACATTAAGTAAAGAACATCGCCATTGATAGTTTAACTTATGTTAACCTTCGTGTTAAATTATCTTAGATGTTTATCAGCACTTTACCTGGTAGGCCTGTGTTTAAGACACCCATTGTTAAGCTAGCTTTTCAAGTATAGATATTTGATGGTCTGAGACTGGCAACCAATTATTGCATTCTTTGAATTCGATTTTAAACATTTATCAAATTCCAAATCTGATAATTAAACAAATAGTTTGACTGATGTTCGATGGATACTTTATTCAGAGTATATGACCGATATGGTCTTCGTGTAAATAGAGGGGCCTATTGAAGTGAGTTCAGAGAGGAGATCTGTGATGTTATCTTCTGGAGCTCACGACACAAGTTGGTGCACTGAGCTTGGAGAGGTCTGAATGGAAATATCTTCATCTCATGATATAATGCCATTAGCATGATGAGAATATCGTTTGGGGAAAAGAAAGCTACATTTGTACATATAAAATATAAGATTTTATTGGTATCCATGCAGACATTGGGCATGTGAATACTGTAAAACAGGTTAGTGCGTTTATAAATGCGCGTGAGCTCTGCTTACCAGTTTTATGTTTCTTTGACTCCAACCCAAATCCTGATTGTCCCGCCACATGCAGCTGCGGGCCTTGCGGAATGCAGTCAAGAACATCTCCACAAACATGGAGGTCCTGGTCCCAGCCACGCGCAAGAGGGTTCAGGAGTACACCAACGAGATCAGGTGTCGTCATTGCCACAATTGCCGTCGTCACTGCCATTGACCCGCCTTCATTTCCACTCTCATCACCTTCATCAAGGTCTTTGTCATCCTTACCATCATCGTTAGGAAAATGTGAACCAGCGTTGTGAAGAGCTTATGATCAGTATTTTGTGCACACACTACAATGTTAATGATGTAAAATTATATCTTACGATATTGCATCAACTGTTTGCGCTTGGTAATGTTCTTGCCTGTGCATTTAGAGCGAATACAAATCTATGCACATCCTCCCAAAAAGTGTATTGTGATAAGAAAATGTTTTCAATGATGATTTCCATAGTGCCTTATGGATATAATGTTTTATTGTTGTCATCTCGTACATCACAGGCAGACCCGGAGACTAAATGATATTGAGTTAGAGAAAGACCGAAACCTCTTAAAGAGTCTTTTGAAAACTTGGAAGGAGATCAAGAACTTGCGAGAATTTCAAAAATACACCAACACGCAGCTAAAGCTCCATATACGCAGGTAAGCACGTTCGTACTAAGCCAGCTAAAAGGTCATGTTCCAAGTGAATGTTGCTTTCAGCATTTCCCTGTGTTCAAATCCCAATAACCATGGTTGCTTACAATGAGGAGTGTGATGTTGTAATTGGTAAGCAGTGCTGTGTGCCCTGTGCCTGATTTTATGACCTATATTACATATGCATAATTGAATCCATGTGAAAACAGCAATTTAAATCAACGAGTGAACAATTTGAATTGGCCACAGGTTCTTGGATCTTGCTGTGGTACGTCCTGTAGGTGTGGTGGAATCGGCCCTTGTGGACATGCATCTAGCGGTTATTAAAGCTGTCATAATTCTTATTCGGCAGTGCACTTTATTAGTGACCTGTTGATGTTGGTGTGATATGCTGTGCAGAGAGGAGAAGAGGCGGCAAGAAGATGAGTCACAATACGAGCAGGAGATCGCACATGAGGTGGATGAGATGGAGCGGGAGTTCCAGGAGGAGTTTGAGAAGCGGATGAATGAGTACCGGCTTCAGTGTGATGTGTGGAAGCTCTGGAGGAAAAAGCAGGTATCTCAAGAGCACATGTATGCGACTTTTGTTTATAACTGTGGTTAGTGACATATGTTGGTCTTCATATACTTAGGGAGCAGTGTTTAGGGTTGCCTTGTAACACGATCTTCTCTCTAGAAAGGTAACTTCAATTGGTGTATGACTGCTCCTCCTGTTGCCTCTCCTCACCTCTCTCAGGACCTACCCTTAACACACCCAAATTCAGATTTAATTTGCATTGTCAGTGACGTGCATGGCCACGAATTGAACCTATGTCTTGGGGATCGTAGGACATTACTCTTGTCTTGTTTTGTTGTCCTACCCCTGCAGCTCTGATTAGCATGGTTGGCTACGTACGGTGCGAAAGGAGTTCAACATACATATATTTCACCACTCGCCATATCACATGCAAATTCCTCTGCAACCCTCTGCTTGGCATAATTAACTACGTTGGTGCTGACTCCGTACCCCTGTCCCCTCACTCGCCCATCTTGCTACAGAGAGCACGTCTGAAGAAAAAGAAGAGCAAGAAGGGGCAGTCGCAGGGGGAGGATGACAGAGAGGGGCTGACAGGGGAAGATGATGAGGAGGATGGTGGTGATGCAGGCGCTGAGCCCCTGGATGAGGAGCCACCCAAACCCCAGAAGCCAGAAACGTTTGACCGCACAGCTGCCGAGCAAATGGTCCGGGAGAAGGCCGCGCGCATCCGGCGCAGGCCTGGAGAGCCCCTTATCACGCTCGAGCTATCCAACACTGCCACCGTGACACCTACCAACCAGTGCCCCCGGTAAAGAGCAAATGGGTCGCTCAAGTTGTTGAACTTGTGCTGAGAGAATGCTGCTGAGTGGTACTGACGTTAGGGTACACAACTCACTGCTTAAAGTTTGCTGCTACAAATCGCAAGTTGACTCAACTTTTATTCATCCTCGATAAAATTAGTCCAACTTTTTCGGAAACCCACATTGGTTGCCGCAAAGGCAGATGGGACTTCACCATTGGAATGTGGCACTCTTTCAGGGCTGTGCCACGCTTACTGAATTATTGAGACGTTGACTTTGCCTTGACTCACCCACATGTGTGGGCTTTCTCTGAGGACTCCGGTTTCTTCCCAGACAACAAAATCCTAACGAAGGACCCTCCTGAAAAAAAGTTTTGAGGCTTTGCAAGGCTTTCCTGGGGCAATACATTTTCATTACAGTGTTCCTCGTAAGAACACGTTATTGTGCATATGCCATTGTAAATACATACTGACAAGCTTGGTTGCAGACAATCACTGCTGTGACAGCAGAATACTCAAAGCATGTGGCGAAGTATAGAGACTAGAATGTCATGCCTTGCCACTTGCCAAAGACAAATTAGCTTGTGCGTCCTTCTGTTTACAGTTGGTGCAAAGGCAGCAGTTAACACGCACGTGACGTCACCTTCCCCCCCCCCCATCGTGCCTTCTCAGCCCCGAGCAGCAGCGCCGGCAGGAACTGCAGAGGTACTCGCTGTTCGTGAAGGTCCTCTTCAACAACAAAGAGGTGTCGTGCACGACGAGTCGCCCCCTCAATGCCGACTTCTCCATTCACTTCGGGCAGATCTTCAACATCCAGATTGTGCACTGGCCTGAAAGCATCAAGCTGCTGGTGAGGGCTGCTCGTGGGTCTGTATCAGTATCTGGCAGCAAACAGTCCTGCCCAGATCTGGTTACTTTGGTGTTTAGTCATAGAGTATTTAAAGAAATATGCTCTCCTGTTTAATACATTTTTCACATCAGTGCATTCAACCACATTGTTGTTTAGGCGGCGGGGAGAATTTACATGTGGGAATTATGCGACATAAGCCGTGTGAGAATTAGATGTTGAAATGTGTCTAAATGATACATTCCTGAACATTAGCAGCCATCCGCCATTTTAGTTAGCTCAGGCTAAGTAAAGGTAGAAACAATAAATGTAATATTGGTAATACATTTGGATTTAAAATCTTGTTTAGTCTGTTCTTGTTGATACAAATGTGCCAATAATATAGGTGGTATAGTTTACTTTGCCTTCTGTTTGCTGCTAGTATTGCATAGTGATGCCTTTCCTGTGATCCGTGAAGGTGTTCAGACTTATATTTACACTGATGGTGCCATGAAAAAAGCTAAAAAACAAGGAACATGTAACATCCGCAAGGCAGGCTGCAGATGACAGCTGGCGCTATGCATTTTATGCACCCCACCCGATATTTTCCACCTTTGCAACCACCTTAGTGACTCACACGATCAATGCTGCAAACTGTACAAGTTATATTGCCTCACCTTATATTTCAAATCTTTTGCTTGCACAGCAGGGGGATACAGTGCATAGTCGCATAGTATGAATGGGATTGTGCTGAAACAATCGCACACAATCACCAATGATTATTTATCACTTGTTACAGGTATGCGAGGATGATATTTACGTGTTGGTAGATTTGTTTTAAAGAGTTTCTCTTCTACTGCAGATATATTTGCATATTCTTTTTGTAAAGTCACATAGATAGATAGGTTCCTATCTATCACGTAGATAGGTTCCTATCTATGTGCCTTTACCGAAAGATCCAAAGAATATTAATTCCTGCACTCACGAAAGCTTCAAGTCAAGATGTAGATATGCACTCAGGCTGTTTATCTTGGATTTAGTCAAGTGCATCATGATGGCACTCTAGTGATGTCACATACGTTTTACTGCACCGATGCCACTAGAGAACTATAAAAGAGCATTTCACTGATCTCACCAGTTTTTCTCATAAATAACCTTTCATAATTGTGTTGAACAACCTGCCACACACACAGCCTGGGTACATGCTTACGGATGCTCGTGTTTTGTGTTGCGTTTTCCTTTCAGGAACATTGCACTGTGGGCAGCTAACACTTGCCGCTGTCCTTCGTTGCCCCATGCTGTGTTGTGCTGCAGCTGTTCGAGACTGTGGGAGTGTCGACCGTGCGGTTGGCAGAGATGTTCGCTCAGCTCCCCGACTTGAACGTGGTGGCTGGGAACTGCCCCCTGCAGGAGCTGGAGTTTAGCAGCGAGCATCATGTTTCTTTCCCGCATGAGGGCATCGGCAGCAGTACGTCTCCTCACCCAGCAACCAAGGACTTAGCTCTCTCCACCTCTTAGCATGGTTAGGGTGGCGAGGCAAGCGTGTTAGCGACTAGATATGGCTGACATAGCACACGAAGGGGTGGTGGGACCAGCACCACACCCATCCAGTTTATTCTGTCTTATTGGCACCATAGTTGGCACACAGATACATTCCAGCTACTCATGTTGTGCAGGGTTCACCTGGTGATGTCCATGTCAGACAGAATTATTGATTGTAACTGATGTTCCATGGGCAGATCAACGGGACAGTTTGACAGTGACTGCCAATGTTTATATGAAATAGAAACAGACATACATGTATTGAGGTCGCTCACTGTTATAAATGATCATTGCTTAATGTTTAAAGCATACAAATGTATAATTACATTCATACCCAGCGTTATAGCCATGTGTCACTATTATTATTATCAAGAGGGTGGTCTCACAAAGATTATTGACAGTAGCCGAATCATAATTTGAAAGTTACACTGACACATACCATAATTATACGTGAAGGTTATTACTTAAAACGAGTAGTCATTGGCAAGGTAACTTATTAACTCATCTTGATATATTTCCAATAGTTGGATGGGTCGTGCACTAAATCCTGGAGCAAGTGAAGGTCACATACTATCATGTAAAAGTCATAAAATGTTCACAATACGGAAGGGCATAGAGTCACAGTTGTCGCTGATCATGTAACGGTTTGTTCATTCATCTAGTAAAATCAATCCATACACTGATTACTGAATTTCTAATTGAAGTTAATTTGAAAATTATACGTTCATGGGGTGAATGAGACAACACAAAAAATAGCGTCTGCGAGACCGAACACAGACACGACCCACACAAAAAATGAAGTCTTGAATTCCCATTGTGATCTTGAATCCTGACACTTGGGTCAAATCAAACGGGAGACGGCAAATCATGACGCGCCTATTTGTTGCAAAACCTTACAGACGTTCCGGTCACCCTGGGGGTGGACAAGGAGAGCACGGTGACGCTGCTCACGTCCGGAAAGTTGGCTTGCAGCGTGGCCTGGGGCGTAGGGAGCGACGGGATTCCACTGGCACCGGCACTCGCATCGCAGCATGGCGACGGCCTGCGCAGGTGAGCATGGCAGGCAATTGGCTAAAGGGAGCCTGGTGCTGATTCTGGGACAAATTAGAGCCTTTGGTTGACAGCCGTGTAGAATTTTAGATTGGGAACCTTATAACCTTTAATAATAGAAGGCAATATTTTGGATAGTCTATTTTCTTCTTATCGCCCTTCTGAGGAGTTATACCATTTTTTTTAACATGATGTTTTCAGTTTGTAAGATAGTTCAATGTAGATGGTAGTGAAGTTTTTGACTGCCTGTCAGCACCATTATCTGTGCCGGTAATTGAGATCAACATGCTGAACTCTGTTAGAAGGCTTCCCTGGCGTGCTTATCAGTGCAGTCATTAGAAAGTACTTTGTGTGATTTGCTCTGCAGCTGGTTTACCATAGTGTGCTTTTCTGTGCAGCTAGATTATTAGAATCCGTAATATTACTTTTGAAAAATTTGAAAAGTCACACAATATTTGAATGTAGCTCAGAAATTGTATTAAAATAAAAAATATATATTTAACCCCGACTCCCCCACCACACGGCGAGCTGTCCAATAGCGCTGTCTTGTCGTCACTCTGCGTGATGCGCAAGTGCGGCGAATCGGGTGGATGCCATCGCGTCCATCGGGGCGTCCGCACTAACGGACGTCAACAAGCTGGCCGCGTGGGCCAAGGAGTCGCGGCTCGACCCCAACGACCCCAGCAATGCCGCCCTCATGCAGCTCATCACTGTGAGGGCAACGCCCGACAATCGCACTACCGCCATGGGTTGTTGTTGCTTGTGATACGGCTGCCGCTTCGTGGGTAGAGGCAGCGTCTCACTGTTGGCCCCACCGCAGGTTGTGACGAGCGGCGAAGTTGAGGTCACCGACTACTTCAGGTTGGAACAGCTGCAGGAGGAGTTCAACTTCGCAACGGAGGAGGAGATGTCAATGTCGCGCCGCCTGCGCCTCCTGAAGCTGCGTAGTCGCGAGGTGCCCGAGTTCCGGAACTATCGGCTGGTGCCACCGCTGGACCGCGAGATCCCAGAGAAGGTGTTCCAGGTCAGCATGTGGCAACTAATAAATACAAATGACCTTTGTTTATAAAGCGGCAAGAACGAACTTAGACCATAAGTCATATTTAAAAGGAGACCTGTATTTAAATAAACAATTAATCACAAACATATACGGGTATAAGGAATAAAGGGTTAATTAAAAATAATAAAATATATTTCAATGTCTCTGATAGAATAAAAACATGTCAATGTTTTGGCCAATGGGCGTTTTTTACGAACCACTGAAATCTTAAATGTATTCAGAAGGATTGGCAGGGTTGGGGTTCATGCTGTTTGATAGTGCCAATTAAGACACAGTGATGGGTGTTGTTAAATTTATTGGAGATAATATGATCACAGACATGAAATTAGACCTTCAGACTTTAAAAATGTCCAAGCCAATCCAAAAATAAATTGATTTATTGACAGACTGCCTCAATGAAGTGTCATGAGTCTTCAGGGCATGACGAATTCTAAAGGCATTCAAGAGGTTAACAATGGGGTTAATGCAGTGGCATCATTACTCTGGGTATGACTGACTTGCCATGAGACAAATTAATGCATATACAGATGCATTACACAGCACTTGTATGCATATAGTACATACAACAATTTCACTGTTATCTTAAGGGACCATGTCACTCCTGATTATGCTTTTGAATAACAACAGGACATCATTTTCCTATTTCAAAACTGCTTTGCGAAGGGAGCCGATGATACAAACGCCATACATGTGTGGTCTCTCTTGCAGGAATATGAGAAGAAACAAAGGGAGAAGGATATTGTTGACACGACGGAGCAGTTGATTCGCTACAGGGCTATTGCTGCCATCTACATGAAAAAGGTATCATTGGTCACCTCGCTGTCTGTGCAGCAGCAGCAGCACTGTCCACTCATTCAAAATGGGGCAATATATACCAGTATATAAAGGTCCATATAGTGCAGTGCTATGTTAGTCTTTGCCTGGTGCCACTGGCTGGCTGCTGGATCATCAGCAGCACTCCAGACGAAACAAACAAAATGTTCTCAGCTCCCCCTGGCACATTTCCTGCACATATGCTGAATGGGCTTGCCAGCAAGCGTGAGTTCTAAATATCTGGGTGGGCTGTGTCTGCAGTAGGAAGGATGCAAATGTGAATTTGATTACTTTGTTTCTCTCACTTATGCTCACCAATACATTACGTTGTAATAAACATTGCTGTTATATGTCACAATTATGTTAATGTTGTGCATTGTAGGATCTTGTTTGTTAAAAAAGATAACCGATCAATCTGGCCTTAAACTTCATTACTAGTTCACTATTATTTCTGGAAGGCTCATGACAAGTTGTATCAATCAGCACTGCCAAGGTCCAAATTAAAATTATTCTCTGTTCTGGTCACTAATAATGCAGCTGTACCTCTGAATAATACCAAGTAACCCTATTACTCGTCCCTCTACTGGCGGCTCAACATCTAGCAATGGTTAGACAAGCGCGGTCAGACAGGGTGCTAGCCCCACCGTTCTCGTGTACACAGCTGGTCTTAATAGGCCCTCACTGTCATCTCAACAGAATATGAGGCTAACCCTTGGTTTTTGTGTCTGTGTGTATAGATCCGAGAGTCTGTGATGAGCCGTTTTGTGCTGGCGAGGCATCACTACGTGCTCTCCGACCTCATCCTGGAAGAAGAGATGCCAAACATCGGGTAACCGCCTGTCCATCCTGTACCACTGCCCCTCCGTCACATCTGTCCTTGTCGTAGATAGTATGGAAAGATTGCCACTTTACAGCTGGGCCTGTCTCTGCCACTAACCCCCTCCTATGGATTATTTTGACCCTTGCCTGACCTAAAAATGTATTGGCCTAGTACCAGAGTTGAGTGAGACCCACAATGCTCAGTTGATGGTAGGTACTTGCTGACTTTTTGTTTTGTTGTCGTCACGGGAGCAGAACGCTGGGCCTGGGCCTCTTCAAGCTCACGGAGGCACGCCGCCCCCTCAAGCCACAGCGCAAGGAGCGCAAGCGGGTGACCGCGCAGAACCTGACGGATGGGGACATTACGCTGCTCGTCAACATCGTGCGGGCCTACGACATCCCCATGCGCACGATGGCCACCAAGTAAGGCCCTCTTCGGGCGAGCCTCGCTTCCATATAATTGACTCACTGCCACCAGTTGCATTTGGAAGTAACTGTTTTTTACGGTACGTGAGTCACAAGTGATGTAGAAGGTAGTGGCATGCAGTGACACTGCCAATTCATTAAAAATGCAAAACTAAAAATAATTGTTTCTATGTTATTGCATCGTCGAAACAACATCGATACAATGCAATTGGGCAGTTTATATATCCAAAAAAAAAATTCTGACTCGCATCTGAAATTGCAGTTCCCAGATCGGCTCCGGGATGACAGGAGTATCCCAGCCTATATTTGGTTAATATGCCCAGCTCTGACTACGCACCATGCATCGTTATGTAGATCAGTGTTCTTCATTACAAGGCCCGTGGGCCACTGGCGGACCCTGATGGCCTTTAGTGTGGCCCCTGAAATGCGGCCCCTGACAATACTCAAATGTGAAAACACCCCATCATGCTGTTAAAACCAATGGCCCTCATACTGATGTCTTATAGGCAAAAGTGCCCCCCCTCTGAAAATGAGTGAATAACACTGATGTCGATGGTGCGCTGGCTCCCTGTGCACCATGAGTGATGAGGTCAGAGCGATGCTGCTCGATCGCACCATAGCAGCACTCCTGAAATTTACTTACTTATTAGTAATGAATATTCAGACTCATTATGGACAGCCCAAGAAATGTAAAAATATTTTATCTGAAAATGCAAAATAAAATGTGTTTTTTGAGGTGTCCGCCCTGGGCCCTCCTTGCTCATGCCCATGCCGTGTGTCTGCTCAGGCAAGCCGGCACCAGCAGGGCGAGAGCAGGCCGTGGAGCCCAGGACACGTTCAGCGCTGGGCAGGCCCACCACGACAACGAGGCCTTCTATAGCCAGGCAGGTCTTGCACCGCCCTGCTTGGGTAGTGGAAGCAACGTGTCAAGATGAACGGACTATCAGATCCTCAAAGCGAAGTCGGATTGGACCAGGGCAATACCTGGATGGGCAACATGCTAGAAATATCTGTCAATCATACAACAGCCCGTGTAATTTCACTTTTCGTTCAGGAATGTGAAGCTGTGTTGGAGTCTACAAAATTGATGTTGTGTTGCCCTTCATAACATATTTATTCCAGCAACACTAATGCTCTGTTTGGCATGTGTGTGTCCTATATGGTAAACACTTTGTGTTGTGTGCCCTTTTAAATTGTGTCAGCTCTGTATGTTGTGTGATGCGTATTGTGAGTAATTTAACATTGATGTGCTTTGTGTGGTGTATACATGGTGTGTACATGGTGTACCTCTCCTGTACACCGTGCATTGCATGCTCGAGCACCGGCATTTCAATTATTTGTATTGCACGTGCAATTTAAGCAGAAATTTTCTTACAGTACTCCACTACCTCTTTAAGCCAAACCATACAAGTTATTTCCCTTTGTGCATGTGCATATATGTGTTTGTGTACACAAGTGTGGGCGTGGTGCTGGCCACCCACCTCCTCGTGTACCGTGCCGGCCTTCATAGGTGCTGGCGAACAGCACTTGCCCCAACAGTCCATTAAGGATACAGGGGGGGACCTTTGTCTTTGTGTGTGTGTGTGTGTATCTCAGGTGCTGGTGCGTCCGTTCGTGGAGGTGTCCTTCCAGCGGGAGGTGCGCCGCACCACGACCGCCGACGGACCCAACCCCAACTGGAATGAAGAGCTGGTGTTGCCCTTCAAGTGGGCAGCAGAGAGCAATGTCACAATATAACCCTTACACACATATAAGAAGATTACATTGGTAGCCTGGCTTAACGGTTGGGACCAATATTACCTGCTGTTGTATATTTATGCTGATAGAGTTCTTTCATTCTTGTAGTAGTAATAATACCACCTTTCTGTTACAATGCCTCTACCGGAAACCTGTTTAGGCTGAGTTGAACTAGAGGAGGTTTAGTCCATAAGGAATTGATTAACATTTTCCCATGATCTTCTACATTCCTCAGAGCTTGCAATGGAGACTACAGCGCAGCTGGGCTGAATTCCACAAGAGATGACATTTTCATCAACATGTTTGACGAAATTGTGTATGACATCCAGGAGGTAAGTACCTTACTTGGAGTCAATTTATCCCCATTGCCCCTTCATAACTGCCCCCTATGGTCTAGACATTACACTCACCATTTATTTGCCAGTGTGGTGAATGTGGTGCTGCAGGCTTTATGTGTACCATTTACAGAAATGGCAATATATGAAATAAAAGGGAAATGATTCTTACACAGACAATTAGATGCCTTAATTGTGAGCTAAAGTGTGAATGCACCCGGAGCGTTTTCCCGATCGTGCGACTAACCCAGTGCGATGTGTGCACGCCACACGTGTCCAGAACGACCGGGAGGCCGGAAATGTGATCCACACCCGCGTGGAGAGGAACTGGCTGGGCTCCATACGCATCCCCTTCACCACCATCTACTTCCAGTCCAGGGTCTGCTCACAACTCCCACTCTGAGCCCACACGCTCGACTGCTACATCAGTATTTTACAATGACGAAAGGAGTTTGACTTTGACTGGATTTCTTTGGATGAGACTAAAACATTGGCTGAATGTCTTTTCCGGCTCACTGATTTGCACTGAAGCACCTCTGCATGCGTTTTCTGCTTGCAGTGATGCATTCATAGTTCTTTTGCCGACATAATCAGAGAGACTGGAGTTAATTTCCTGTTTATAATCACGCGTTACTTTCTGCGTGTAATTGTGTCACAAAGCAAGCAGAAATAATGTCACGTCTCAAGGTTCATCTACACAAGCAGTTTCTCTCAACTACTTATTCTTTCTCACCTGCCATGTTCTCATAGTTTTGCATTTTCCTGAACATGCTTCACATGTGTGGGGTAGGATTATATCTGTTTAAAAGTTGGAACTGAGAAAAAGTGAAATTTTTATTTGTTGACAGCGGGGTAATGCATGTTAGTCTGTAATGTTTGTAGATTTTGACTGTGAGCTTTGATCTGGCATGGTGGATCGGTGGTGTTTGAGAAGAGGTTTGAGATTTACATTTTCATGTTTTTGATAGAGAGAGAGGGTTGTTATGAGTAGTTTGATTCTACATAACTTTTGGTTTTAATGTAGCCATGTTTATTTTATTTTAGACATGACGGAAAAATTTGCTTGTTTTTTTTTTATAAGCAGCCTGCTACATGTGGTGGTTTGGCGTGCCGCCGTGTGCCTGTCAGATTGATGGCACGTTCATGCTCGACTCGCCACCGGTGCTGCTGGGGTACAGCCACGAGAACGAGGGACGCTGGGACTCGATGGCTCCCCCACTCGCCGCTGGAGATGCCACCTATCTCACCCTGTTCATCACCACCGAGCCTCAGCTCATCCCTGCAGAGCCTGTCAGAGAAAAGGTACCGCACGCACCAATACTTGTTTTACAATTCCAGCAAAGTCAAAAAGAATCTCCCAGCTCTAACAAGCAATTTAGCAGCTCTCATTTCTACTGGCAATCCTGACTGGTGGACATCTCAGGGTGATGGCCATTCTCTCTGTAGGACAGCCACTGTGTATTCATATTTTCCTTGAATTAAAAATCTACAATCATATAATTACAGGTCTCCATATGACCAAATCACCCAGGAAGCACCCAGCATCATAAAATATTGAAAGCTAATCAAAATTGTGCCTAATCAGTGCTTGAATGGGTTATGCAATGCACAAACAGGATGTTATGGAGCTGTTGGGATATGTGGTTGGCAGAAGAGCGCATTGTAGCAAAATCAATCGTTGTACTATCCTTCTATGCTTCTTCTAATCCCAACTCCAACGCACGCTGACCATCATGGTGAAGTATGGTCAAATAACCCCCACGATCCGCACAGGTGTGGGGAGGCCCTAATCCAGCCGTAGATTGACATCCACTGCTGGATTTGCTAATGCACTTGACTTGCAATCATAATGTTGGGAGTTCATACCCAGGTCGGGAGTCAGTTCGGTTTATCATCTCTCCAAGGTTTATACAATTAGCGATTTTGATTTGAGGGTCAATGATGGTTGTTCTATGGAGTGCATTAACCAAGGGTATGTAAAATGTCCGCTTGGTTCAGGACCATCATTAGAATGGAGCGCCATATCATTGCTCATTCGAGCAAGGAGACAGTTTGACAGTTGTCAAATATTGCATTAATTTTGATTTAAAGCTTTCGTGACTGCAGGGATTCATATTATTGGTTCTTTCGGTAAAGTCACGTAGAAGGGAAATAATAAAATAATAAAAATATCATTTCTCTTCTACGTGACTTTACCGAAAGAACCAAGAATATATTGCATTAATGTTGGTAATACGAATGTCTTGTATTATGCCTTTTAAAGTTTTGATTTACATATCAACATAGTATATCATCTTCCCTGATGTAAGAAAATTACACATTTGTTTTTGTCAGTTACATAGGGGCTTATCACACAGCTGGAGTTCATTCGTGTGTCCATCATAATGTCCGTAAAATGCAGCATTCATCAATTGTGGCAGTTTTACAACATTGGAACCACAGCTTTTAGTGACAGTGAAGTTGATTAAATCTTGATTTGTCACAGACCTTTGAAGCCTTTCTTTTAGAATTAAAACAAAGTCAAAATGTCTCTATGCTCAAACCCGTGTGGACCAGTGCTCAACTCCACTGAATACCATGAGCGAATGATGGTAATTCCACATTCCTATGTTGGGGACCAGCCTCACTGGAGGACAACCATTTGTCGAGTATTTACAAAGTGGTACCCCAGACGTATAAATAGCTGTGTGGACCCCTGGCTGAGACCCATTGTGCATGCATATAATATCTGTCATATATGTGGCGTACTTCATACGTGATGCTTTCAATATGCTATTTGCAGTTTCAGTTACATTATTGTGCTGTTTGTGTTTTGTGTTTTCTTTGATCTTCTTTCGGCACCTCTGACCAGCTAACCGAGGTATTGAAGGTAACGGGGCCATTCCCTCTAGTGCGAGTGGAATGTGCAGTGCAGCACTCTTCCAATTACCCCATTACCAGTGGGTGTTCGGTTCATTGAAATATATGTGAATAGACACACAAGCTCTCATTATGCATTACCATTAGGCATTTAGTGATGCATTGATTCATGTGTTAAATGTTTTTTTTATCCTCACGATAAATACATGAAATCATATTTGTAAGAATCGATTACTTGTGTTTTATATATTTCTTCACGTAGTTTGTTCATGTGATCCTTCACTACATTGTAAAAAAAAAATATTCCAACAAAATCGTGACCTCGAATTGTGACAATTCATTGAATCGCAGAGCCCCCGCCCCTCATTGAATGTCAGGCAGGGAGCGGGGGGTGAATCATGGCAGGCCTATTGACCACTCTAAAGCTCTGAGTAGTGGTTACAGAACTCTCAGGCTATCTCACACACTCCTCCTCTTCAGGTCCTCACTTTAGATTTTCCTCATCTCCTCTTTCCTCATTTCACTTTTTTGCTGGATTTACTGTATTGTTCTGTTCTACCCCCTAAATTATAACATCGGTGTAGACATGTTCCCGCTCCTCTATTACTCTCCTTACCCGTTATTTAATTTCTTACCCCTATCATTAATGTAATTATATGTAGACGCTATATATATATATATATCCATGTTGTGTTGAAATGAGTCGGTACATTTCTGTTGCTGTGTGCTTCCTTGACTGTCTACCGTAGAGCTGCTTTTTCTTGTAACATGGCACTCGCGTGGATGAGAGTGGAGTGGTAATGTGATCGTGTACAACCTGCAAAGTTGTCTTCACAACACCTGGCATAGCAACCTATGGACACATCAGAATGTCCCCTAAAGCATACTCGGTGTGCTTGCAATTGATGTGCATGCAGAGCTGTATAGACTACAAGCGAGCCCCAGTCGTTGACTCTCAGGTCTCTTCATTATCAAGTGCTGCCCTATAACCTCGACTCTTTTGGGGATCTCGAGCGGTTTTGTTTTGATTTGTTTAAATTTCATCAGATTTTAACTTGTGAAGAAAATGTTAAATCCCGTCACAGAGAATCACGTTTCTTTTGTGGTACTATACTAAAAATGTGTTTCAACATCATTATTAATTCTCATTTTGAGTGCCAATTTTATTTTCTTGAAAATTCATTCTTCATTAATATGATGTTAAATGCCTAACATATTGCAAATCTGACGAATGGCTCACATTTGTTGTCAATTTCACACGAAATTTTTCATACATTTTTTTGAAACGAGCAATTTCACCCTCTGTAAAATCGTGGCAGCCTATGCCAAGGTTATTTCCACTGTGGGTGGGCGGACATTAGTCCCTTTTCATTTTGCACTCATTCTGGGTCATGTTTGTGCATGTGCCTTCCTGCAGTGATGGTCCACTAACCCTGCTGTGAATCTGCGTTCAAAAAGTATTCCTGCGAGTGAGATTGTAAAAGCAGCCTTGCTGGTGTGGGGATTAGTTAATATCTGTCCATCAACACAATGTGGATATATATACATATAGCATCCATCTGGAGAGGGACAGATATATTTTTTACGAGTACTTACATTGGCTTTGTGCCGTTGCATGGCGACATCTCGCATGCAAACATCGCGTTCCCGTGAGAGTGGAGTGTGCACGTTTGCGTGGGTGCGGGTATACACGTGCTTTGTGTGCTGTGCATGTCTTCCGTGTGCTGTAGATAAGAAATAGATGTATTCAGTTACTGTTCATTTCCGATTACTGACAATTATTGCAAAATTGCTCAAATTTCCCTTCTTGATTGTTCGCCAGGGCTAGATGCACCAGTACTGAGCTGTGATGTAAGTCGAAACTTGACATGTTCAGATGATGATTATAATAATGATAGGCAATAGTCTTCAGTTCAGAGCCTCAACTTGTAGCAGATCCAGTGTGTTTTTAATTAAAAACAGAAAATTGTGGAGATTTTTTTGGAGTAATTTGAGCTTTCCAGACGTCAGCAAATGTTACGCATGATCTCTTTGCCTTTTTTATTTGCTGCCCAGTAATCCTGCATCATGAAGTATCACACTTGTTGGCACAAATAACCATCCAATTGCAAATATTTTAAAGATGTTAATTATCCAGGGTAATCGATACAGATTGGATGGCCTGAATACAGCAAAAACACGGATAATGGAAACATATAAATGAAGCTTTACAAACATGTGTTGTTGACCACATAGCATGGGGTGACGGTGTTGAATATATCATCTGCTTTTTTGTTTATTAAAGTATGTGAGCAAGGAGTAACTGTCCACCATGAATATAAAAGGTGGGGATGAGCAAGGTTAAACCGCGACCCAGATAATCTGCCCATGGATAATGAAGAGTTAACTATGTATACTTATTAGTAGTGCTTTCTCACATTACTAAAAGACTTTCCACCAGTGAAAATTATATTATCAATATGAATCTGTTACACATAATTCAAAGCTAAAACCCTTGGTGTAGAGCAAATAAATGCTTGTCATAGTATCGTATAGGCCCGTTGACCATCGACCATCATTTACACTCGCAGATATAGTACGCAACTGTCACAGAAACTAAACAAAAAACAACTTTAACACTAAATCGATCACCAATATTTCGAGTTTAGAATGCGAATATGTTCTTGGAGCAGCATGTGGGTCCATTTGCAGGCACGTGCGCCCGCAGTGGCTCGTGCGTGTTCGTGCACGTCACATCTGTGCACACACCCAGCAGACAATCGCTTGTTGTTTGACACATCTGCACTCGCTTCCCTGTCCCGGTCGCAGTTCGACTCCCAGGAGGATGAAAAGCTGCTCCGGATGGCTGACGCATTCGCTGCCCAGTGCGAGGCGTTATTCCCCACACGTCGGCTCGCCACGACTGTGGCCGACCTCAACGGCCGGGCCGTCTTCGTGTGCCGATTCATTCGCCCGCTACAGCCGCCGCCCGAGCTCCTGCAGGCCCACCCTGGCAACCTGCAGCTCACGGCCGTAAGTCCACAGTCTTCCCTGGGGCCCAAAATCGAAGTGGCTCCCGTGAGCAGTGTTGATGGTGCCCGTCTCCATTAGGAACCCAAGGCAGTGGTGGAAGCTTCCATTGAACGACCTCTGCTGGGCCATATTATGCCCTCCTGTGCAGTAATAATTTAGTAGCGTGAGCATCATTGCTGCTGATGTGCAGACTGATGTAACTTAACCAGCTGCACATTCTAATCACACCAACTGCCAATGGGTAGAATCACATACATGTAATTGGCATGTAAAGCTGCTAGCCCCTAGGCCAGGGGTCGGCAACCAAAATAACAAGAAGAGCCATTTCTTTCCAATTCGGTGCAAAATTCAGTATTTCAAGAGCCGCAATGCATCTGAGTACATACTGTCCATAGGTACATATCGTCAAGAAGCAGCCCGTAAAGAGCCGCATGCGGCTCCGGAGCCGTAGGTTGCCGACCCCTGCCCTAGGCAATCCAATGTCTTACGTCAAAGTTGGCACTGCTTGATTTGGTGCATTGGTTCAATGGCAGTGGTTGTTATTTGTGTGTAAGTACTGGGAGAATGGTGGTATAGTTATTAGCACATTTCCCTGTTAAAATGTGTTTCTTAGCCGTAATATACAACACCAGCGGCAAAACTGTATAATCATGGTATGGGCCACATTAGCACAAATCAGCTTGAAATGAGTGCATTGTGCAACGTGGTCTTCATTAGCCCTGGAGATAACAGCTGGGCCTGGCGCGGGCCATAGGGCATCCTTTTGTATTTCATGGGACCTCCTTTGCCAGTACCAAAATATGAGAAGAGGTTTTCCCCTTTTTACTGGCAACAAAACAGGTGTGAAGATGTTAATACACCAAACTGAAACCTTTCGCAAGGAATCATGTCTGCATTAACCACAATACTTGTGGTCAGAATGCAAACAAAAAAACGTACTCTGATAATATATGCATTGTCTTTGAAACTGATTGGTCCACACCAGAGACAGCTTTCTTTTGAGGATAGGCTCAAAATAAAGCTGTCTCTGGCTCAAAAGAAAGCTGTCTCTGATGTGGACCAAAGACAATGCATATATTATCAGAGTACGTCTTTTGTTTTCATTCTGACGACAAGTATTGTGGTTAATGCAGACATGATTCCTTGTAAAAGGTTTCAGTTTGGTGTTGTAACATCTTCACACCTGTTTTGTTGCCAGAAAAAAGGGGGAAACCTCTTCTCATCCTTTTGTATTATGCCAGCTTTATTTTTTTTTTACTAACAGCACTTTCCCCTGTCATTATATTTGGCTGAATGGGGGCACATTGTTAGCTTTGTGCCAAGATGCTTGTGTGGGAAGCGGTAGTGTAGCAGTTAGCGCGCTGCGCTACGAACCCGGCGACCCGAGTTCAATTCCCACTCACGGCCAACACCAGTGACGATTTTCTGAACTGGTCGTGGGCCTCCCCTGGTCGACTCAGCCTCAAATGAATACCTGGTGCGGTGTGTAAACATCACCACTGGGAGGACAAAGGCGGCCAGGCGTGGGGCTGGCCACCCACCCCCTCATGTGCTGTCGGCCTTAATAGGTGCTCGCTAACAGCACTTGCCCCAACAGTCTATTAAGGCTATACGGGCGATCTTTGTCTTGTTGTCTTTGTGCGTGCACAGGAACTGCTGGCTCGCTACGTGTCCCTTATCCCCTTCATTCCGGACAGCGTGAGCTTCAGCGGCGTCTGTGACCTGTGGAGCACAAGTGATGTATGTCGGTCGCCTCGTCCCATTCTACTCTCGCACTCCGGCGAGTGCACGTCACCTCAGGGATGATGATCTTACAGGCGCACACACCCAAGCCACTTCTTGTTCTTTGGGAACAACTATGCTCCACATCCTATTGCAATGGTGACATTAAAAACAATCTGTTTTTACTGTGTTGATATATTGTGAAAAAAAAAATTGGACAGCCTAAGCCCTATTCTTTGTAGACTTAGGATTTTAAAGATGGTCTTTTACCATTGAAGATGTATAACCCACTCGAGGTCGTATTTTCTTATTCTTTGAAAGGGGTGAAGAGAGTGAATTGCTCCACTGACTTGAGCCCCCATTATAATCATGGCTCGTGTTATTTAACTTTACTTGAGAAAGTGATAAAGGACAATACTTGTCAGTATTTCAATCAATATAATATAGTGGAGTTAAACTAAAGGTTTCAGGTTTGCATTAATTAATGTTTTCGATCATCACCATCGCCATCCTTTGTAAGACATACCACATAATTAATCCCACGTCATGTCTGTGCATGGATTACGTCGACGTTCTCATTGCTATTCTTTATTTTGGTCACTTTTTTCTTGTTTGTGCTTTTTGTTTTGGTGCCATTCCTTCATTTGTTTATTCATTTTATCTTGGCAGTAGGGTTGTCATTCGCTTCGTACGTACGTGTGTGTGTTGGGCTTCTTTCGCGCCGTGCAAAGCCAATTGCGTATATGGGATTTGGTCCTTATATATAATTAATGTACAGCGTTGTGGGATGCTGTTGGCATGAATAGCACTATATATAAATGAAAGGGTGATTGTTATTCCGGTGCAAGTTGCTATCCTGCAGCTGTATACATGTCCCGTGCTTGTCATGGTCCTTGCCGCATCAGCAATTCCTGGAGCTGCAGTGTGGGGACGAGGAGGAGCACGCTGTGCTGCTGTGCAACTTCTTCTTGGCGCAGGGAATGAAGGCCTGGCTGCTGCTGGGCACCGCGGTGCCAGAGGTGGGCTCCCACCGATCCCGCTTTTCACTCCCTCCCACTCCCTGTCACAGCCCCTCACTGCGTATACATTATTTAGTATTTTACCAGGTACGGCCTACTGAGCTATATAGCTCAACGAAGAGGCTTATCGCGTGGAAATTTATAGCAGCCAAATACTCTAAACGCATGTTGATTCTAAATTTGAAGGGAAAAACCGGAAGTCCCGGGGAAAAAATCTACGCGACCACGGCGAGAACATGCAAACTCCAAGTGTACAGGCGTCAGGGTCGGGTTCAAACCCGCGACCTCCTGTATACCAGGCGAGGTAGTTAACATCTTGCCACCGTGCGCTGCTTCTATGTGTTCACTAACAGCTCCTGATCATACACTTAATAAGGCTAAATGTTTGTGCTGCAAACCTGTCGATTTCAGGCAATGGCTTACATCAATGGTGAGTGATATATGAACTTATCCTGGACAAACCCCCGAGGTTGAGTATCTGGTGCAATGTGTACACATTCGATTTGGCGAGACAAAGGTTGTTGGGTGTTGTACTGGCCACACCACTCACTCGCTTGCTGTGCCGGCCTCATAGACGTTCATTGAAAGCATTTGCCGTAACAATTTTGTAGTGGAGAGTAATGGTGTAGTTTTCACTCTGAGTTATAATTCTGGTGATCTGGATTTAATATCAGGTCATGAATAACATTAATGGAAAGTGGTATCTGAACCTACACTGTCTCCTCTGAGTCACCTCAGTTTTAAAAATAATATATGGTGTCATCTGCAACTTAACACTTGGGGAGACAAAGGCAGCTGAGTATAGTGTTGCTGATGTTGGTGTACTCACTCACTGCACTTGCAGTGTGTATGTGTGTCAAGTAAGCATGCTCAATATGTGTGTTACCATGTAATCTGCAGGGTTCCACAGCCTATGTAGTGACCCAGGAGGAGGGCAGCTACAACCAGTTTGTGATCTGGAACCCAAGCACGGGGCGCAGCTACAATCAGCACGACCACTTCTGCCCTCTGCAGAGCGTGGGCTGCCTCATCAGCGCTGACAATGTGTGTGGTGACAGACTCCGCACCTCATCTTGTGTAGCATGGAGCCAGTAGTGCAGCGGCTGCCCAGATATAAAACTACATTTTAAAAATTTTGTATTTTACCAGGTAAGGGCCACTGAGCTATATAGCTATTTTCAGAAACAATCTGGCCACAAATGATAGCTCATCAAGTGGAAATTTATAGTAGCAAAATCTTCTAAATGCATGTTTCATAATGTGGAGGGAAAAACCGGAAGACCCGGACAAAAATCCACGCGACCACCGGGAGAACATACAAACTCCAAATATATAGGTGTCAGGGTCGGGATCAAACCCACGACCTCCTGCATGCCAGGCAAGGGAGTTTACATCTCGCCAACAGATATGGCAAGCCTCAGGGTGCCATTATATTTCAGCAATGGGAATCTTAGGAACATGCAGGTAACAGTAAGATATTTTCTCTTTAGGGTATTTTAAGTGTAGAGCCATGTTTTTCTCACTTTACTATTGATTGGATTATTTATTAAATTGCATTGCAATACTCTACAGCAGGGGCGGGGAACGTCCGGCCCACGGGCCATATAAGGCCCGCAAAATCATTTGGCCTGGCCCTGCCAAGGCAACCGCAGGCGGGACTCGAAATTCAATAAATCTAGGAGCAAACCTGGAAAAGCAGTTGCGAGTAGCAACATCATCAATACCAGATAACATCACACGCCTCACCAAAGAGAAGCAGTTCCAGCCATCACATTAGCGGTGAGTTAATTAAATGTTTGACCAAATATAACGGGCTAATTTTGAAGTTGATAATTTTGTATGGCCCGCGAATTATATTATAAATATCCAAATGGCCCTTGGCAGAAAAAAGGTTCCCCACCCCTGCTCTATAGGAACAAGTGTCAATGACATGTATTCATGTGGGCTGGACTCACAAGAGGCTGAAAACCCACCAATGAACATGACTACATACGGGCACAGCATCAGAATGAACCTTACAGAATTTGGTGTGATACTATTTATATACTTCAAGCAGTGGAAGTCTCAAAATGGGAACAGTGAAGGAGAATAATGATCTGTAGTTGAAATGGATCAAATACCGATGGGCCCTCATCAGGTTCTAAATAAAGAATACATGATTGTTTGGACTTTTGCTTTGTCAGAAAAAAAAGTTATTATGGGATTTGTTTAATAACAGGACTTGCTGCATTCACAATGTGGACTGGCTGAGCCACTGGAGTAGAAATGGCACAATGTTTAGCATGATCCTTGTTTCCCATAACTCCTGGCCTATTTAACACTTGGATACGTCTCTTGAACACTACGTGTTGACCACGCGAACCTGCTGGCTCTCACCAAAACCTGCTCGCCTCTCGTCACCGCTTGCAGATCTGGTTCAACATCCAGCCGTACGACTTGCCCGCGCGCATGAACTTCGCCGTGAGCAACGCCAGCTTGTGGAAGCCCTTCTTCACGCGCAGCTTCCCGATCCCAAACCTGCCCAGTGTACAGGTGAGGCACAGTTACCAAATAGCCATGACAGGGGGCATAGCGACTGATGTATGTATGTATGTTGAACTTCTTTTGCACCGTGCATAGCAAACCGTGCTAATCCGAGGTGCGGGGGAAGGAATGGTACCTTCAAGCTGATGCAACCATTCAGCTTGAATGCCTCACCTCACATTACAGGCAGATGATCAGACAGCTGTGGGCAAAGGACACTTGGGTGTTTGTGTTCTTTGAATATATAGTTTCCATTCCAACTCTAATTACAAATTTGAAATAAATACTAGGGATGGGCCCTATGTGGTTTTATTAAAACTCGTTTTCATATTTACCTTCATGTATTCAGTACAAACAATAGAGAAGACCATGTTGATAACTTATACAGTAATTGGTTTCAGTTTACGATTGTCTTTATTATTGCTCAAACAACTGCAGAGCAGCAGTCATCTTCATTGGTGGCTCGGTGCTTGTAGTGGCAATTCCACTTTCTTGTGGATGCGGTGAGTCTCTCTATAGGTTGATCACTATTGTTAACCTCCCACAAAGTCGTACTCATTTCATCACCTTTACGTGGGTCAAACTCCAACCAGGATTTGAACAAACACCCTTCTGATTGCACTAATCACAACACCGCCTGCCCAGAAATGATCACTAATACTGGTGTGTTTTTGTTTGCAAATTACATTTTAGCCAGCGGAGCTGAATCATGTGCCTCCAGACAAGACATCTGCGATGGAGCTGCAGGCTCGGTAAGACACATGCGGAATCAGCATCCCCGTGTATCAATTTACTCCTCACTTGTGGCCAGTGTGCGAAACCCATGAAGGCACGCCATTGTAGGCCACCTGAACAGCTGCGCTTCCTGCTGTGTCCGCGCCACTTGCACCTATCACGAACGGCTGACCCAGCTGTGAGAAAAGAGGCAGGTAGACGCATGCCTGCTCTGGGGGTTGAAGCTGCAGCGGGAGTTGTGTGTGTGTGTGTGCAGCATTGAGAAGATCCTGAAGGAACGAATGATGGTGTGGCGGCCGCGGCAGCCGACGCGCTGGAACCGGCATGTGACGGCTGCGCTGCGCGATCTGTTGCCGGCCCTCGAGCGCGGTATGGGCCGTGCCGTTGAGGAGCAGCACCGTGCTGAGCTCGCGCACACGCTCGCCGACTATCGGGTACACCACATCATCATCGTCATCGCATACCCCACACTACCGTTCGATATTGTGTAGGTTATCCAGGCAATCACTTGTTCGCATGAATTCTATGAATTTGTGGGGAGCAGTGTTTAGGGCACTGGGTTATGACCTTTGAAGTGTCAGGTAACTTCATTATATATGTTAGATTATGTAATATGTTTTTACGTTAATTATTTATATATCTTCATTTACTATTTAAGCAGTGCATGATTATGTGATTTTGCTGGGCTACCACCCTTTTTTATGAGAAGCTGCATGTGCCCATCTGGTGTGGAGGTTTCTGATGAAGTGACTGCAATTGCATTCAATTTACACAATTACTCCATCAGCGTGTTAGCTGAGATTTGAAAACGCGGAATGGATATTGTTGCCTTCTAAAACAAATCCTGGGCCACATACATAAGCCACGAGATGAAAAATACTATCTACACGTGTCTTGGTCCTTCTAAATGTCGATTTAGCCATGAAACACATTCCTGCGGAGGGAACTGGTAGGAACGTTGGGTTGCTCGGTCAATGGCCAGGGTCAACGGCGGCGTGGTGTATTCCACAAATATGCCCGACTGTGAGGGCGGGCACAAGCCGGCGTGAGTAGGTTAAACGTTGAGTTTTATAGGGGCACCACGGGGTGACCAGCCCCTCTCCACCCAGCCGCACCTCTCCCCATCCAGCCCCTCCCTGCACGACGGACGGACGGACACAATAATCCCCTGTGGGCTGGTGTAACCAGGAGGTTCCTACCAGTATGAGTTCCTGTCTCAGGCCGTGCCTCTCAGTCTCTCCATCTCTTCCATTGTCCAGGTCTCGGGCTTCCCCATCCACATGGCATTCACGGAGCTGCAGCGTTTGGTGGAGGCTGTGTACGGCTCGGGTGTGCACAGCATTGACCTGCCGGGCACGGAGTTCGCGCTGGCTGTCTACATGCACCCCTATGCGAACCACGTCATGTCTGTGTGGGTGTACGTGGCTTCGCTAGTGCGAGTACGATAATCGTTCTGCCGAAGACCCCCCCCCCACCCCATCCTTGTACCGCCATCGCCTTTGGCGACTGTGGCTTCCTGCATTGAAGGTATCTGCTTGTCGCAGGCAAACTTGCTTAGTTTAAACCTTAGCTGTTTTACAGATTTTTTTGGAGACTGATTTTTGGAAATGTCTTTAACCTGCATATATTCTGTGATCCATGTATTCCTCTGTCTGTCAGTTTCATTCTAAGCATGCACCTCCCATTCTTTTTAGCAGACTTTTTCATCTTTTCCTCTATTTACTTTGAAAACATTATTAGTGGGCTTGGACAAGACATGGTTAAGACTAACAACATTCCGTCTCGGAGTTGCTAAATAGACTGTTTCATCGCAGGAGTGCGATATATGGCAATAGCTTTGGGAGGGATGAATCCAGCGGTGGGTATTTAATTGCTGATGATGATTTTTGCATCTCTATTTTTGTTGGACTATCATAGGTGTTTGGCTGTGGAGTTCACTTTGGCAGAACTGCCAGGAGGCAGAATTTTGCAGTTATGATGCTAAGGTTTTCACCATAGCCTATGATGCTCCAAAAATTAAATACATAACCTACTAGTATCATTGACTGGTTCCAGATTGCTTTGTTTAAATTGTCTGAACAATGAATGGTCGGCATAGCTAGATAATTATGGTGGTTAAGCACAAGTCATGCTTTTATTGGTTCAAACATATCGACTCTTCGGTCCATTTCTAAAGCTTCCAGTCCACAAGTTAGTGAGTCTTAATCATGGGTTTAACCATAATGGAATTATTGACTGATACCTTCATGATTCATTCAAATTCCAGAACTGCAATGTTTGCCCTTTGGAGCTGTTAAAGTGCAAAACTACATTTAATCTGGAACAATTAAATCAGTTCATATTAAGAGTATGGATTGTTGTAGTATCTGAATGATAATATGATATGATAGGGTCTTGAGGGATGGGAGATGGGGCAAGGAGTACTTCATTAGCCAATAGTAGGGATGTAGCGATACATCGAGTCTTTCAGTTAACATGGCTTCGAGTGCATGATACGACAAATCATTGTTTTTAGATTTCTGAAAATTCTAAGGTACTAGATTGAACACATCTTGAAAAACATGACAGACAATTGCTGCTCTTTTTACAGCAATAACAAATTCTGTATAAGCAGAGTTGAGCTGTATTTAAAAGTCACTTATTTTATCGTCATTGTTTCACTCAAGTAATTTCTCAAGAAGTACTTGTGGAGATGCTATTTTCCTACATAAGTATCAAATTATTGACGAGCAATAGTGCAACTCTAGGGGGGGTACCCGAGATGTATTTGTCATGCAATAAATGTAAATCAGTACTACGGTAGCAGGAACGGAATTTCAACAATGTTACACGAGTGAACAGTGTAAATCTAGCCTCAAGTGTTTGCCAGATATGATAAGTTTAACACGTAGGCTTTCGCGACCTTTATCATCCATAATACGGGTTTTTGTTGGGTTAGAGCGTGTAAATTACAGCGTTTTTGGGTTAGATCGTGTAGATTACGCGATCTAACCCAAAAAGCTGTATTTTGCAGATATGATAAATGTAAATAACATCTCTTTGATACAATATGTCATTTTGTTTATTTTTTTATAATAAACAAATATATTTTCATATCTCTGTATGGGTGTTATTTGTTGCAACCCAATTCCAATTTTCCAGGCGCACGGTGTCTGCCTGTATTTGAGGTGAGCGTTGAGAAGAAATTATATACATCAGCTAGAATTTATCCCGGGCACATCACAAACCATGATGCTATGGACACGTGTAACAACATTGCTTTAAAAACATCCCAAAGCAATCCCAATGTAAAAACATGCTTTGAAATAACACTGGTAAAAAAAAATTGGCGGATGTTTTGTATTTAACTGTAATGCTGCAATATAACAATCAAACTCTCTAGTGCATTGTAGATATGTTTTCATTGGCGGTTGGTGTGCAGTGCCTTCAAGAGTATTTAAAGCTGGTTTTGCAGTGGCCACTTTAACAAAGTGTATCCCAAAACCACGCCTGCCGTCCATGCTGTGTATAGAATGACTCATAGGTTTGTTAGATCACTGACGTTTACAAAATCAACCCGTCCCAAGTGTCAGATTGGTGGCTGTGGGCTATATTAACCCACTATCATAAATTACATACCATATAAATAATTGCCGACGTCTAATGGTGAGCACACTGAACTTGCAATCCAAAGGTCACCGGTTTGATTCGATTTCGCTGAGCGGCAGTTGAAACAACGGTGCAAGTTCCTTAAATCCCCCGTCTCTGTCCAGCAGTATAAATGGATACACCTGGGCCAAGTGTGGTGGGGTAGAGCGTGGGTAACTTCCATCTCTTTCAAGACGTCTGGCGAGCATGGAAGAGTAGGCCAAGGTACTCTACAATCGGCTCTTTTGAGTTCCCTCTTGTGGAGACCCTTCCGCCCTCTTGTAACATTGTTACAAGAAGTAACATTGTTAAAGCCAAATAAAGTTCACAAAGAACGTGTTGGTTTGCGTGTGTACCGTTGGGCTGCATTGTACATTGCTGAAGGCCTCGTATTCAGCCAGCAAAGCAAGCCGTCCGCTTTCAAAATCCCATAAATCCTCCAGATTAAAAAAACCCTGAAAATATTAGAAATCCTCACGAGTGAGGTTGCAAATGTTTCCTTGATTGCCTATATTAACGTAAACTACCAGAATAGTTTTTCTTTCGTATGGATTAATAGATTAAAGATGTAATTTTTGATTTCATAATACAGGGTTGTTTGGGTTAGATCGAGTAAATATGTGTCTTTAAACCCGCCACCACCCGACACAGCCAATTAGTAAGGGTTGTCACGGAAACAGAACGTGCCAATTCGCCACAAGTACAGGACACTGGTGTGTTGGAGAGCCAAGCCACAACATTTACAATCTGAGTACGACGTTTCCCCAGTAATTACAACTGGCTTCATCAGGCAACAGACAGATGTAATTTTAGATTTGTCGTCCACTCAATTGTCTGTTAAGACGCAGAGTGGATCTCGTCCATTCCTCCTTTAAAGGAGTGAAGACTGCAGTAGCAGCAGCGGAGTGTTTACGATGTGGGTCGATGGTTTGGGATTCATGCCCTCACTCGCAGGCCGTCGAATCTTTGATGCGCCATTTGTGCATCAGGTGGCCGCATCGCCTATGCCCGGTCCTGATTCGGTCGATGGTCAAACATTGGCTGCGTCGAAGGTTGAAACCGAGAGTTTCGTTGGTCGGGTCCTGTATGAGAAGTTGATTTTTTTTTTAATCTCGGCCTCAGTCCAGACATGCTTCCATCACCAGAATAGGACATCGTATTTGTTTTTTTTTGTGTGACTTCAATCGACATAAGGGGCCGTCCATAAATGACGTCACGCACCTGGGGGGGGTTTCAGACATTTGTGACGAGGGGGGGGGGGTGTGAGAAATGTGACGTCACATCAAAATGCGCAACTTTAAATAAATACACAACATGTTCTACTTAATTAAATAGACTTTTTAATAAATGTTTTCTCCTACAACATCAGAGTGCAGCGCCACATTAAATACGCACTACAATGACAATAGTTTAAAGCGAGTTGAAGCATGTTTTATTTTGGGGGGGGGCAGAGCTTTGTGATGTCATATTTGAGGGGGGTCTGACTTTTTGTGCGCCGTGTGACAAGGGGAGCGGGGGGTCATTGTTTAATGCGAGTGGTGGGATGTTAACTCTCTCGCCTGGTATACAGGAGGTCGTGGGTGTGACCCTGACGCCTGTATATTTGGAGTTTACACATTCTCCCCGTGGTCGCGTGGATTTTTCTCCGGGTCCTCCGGTTTTCCCTCCACATTAAGAAACATGCGTTTAGAGTGTTTGGCTGCTGTATATTTCCACACGATGATAAACTACTTCGTTGAGTTGTCATTCGTGGCAAGGTCGCTTCTGAAAAAAATGCTTAGTGGGCCTTACCTGTTAAAATAAAAAAAAAAGTTTATTTCACAGAGCTAATAAAGTGCACGCAAATCTATTGCACAACCGAATTTGATGTGATGTTTTTTTAATAACCAGACAGAGACCGTCAAACTCAATGCACGTGAAAACCCTGTTTGAACCCTGGATTCGAACCCAGGGAGTGAGATGTTCGGGGCTCACCATCCCTGAGCTGACCTCTGAGCTGACCTCTGAGCCACCTGGCCACCCTGGGAATATCACGATTGTTTTGTGCTATGCATTGTAACGTTTAGCCTCGGACCCATATTAAACAGCGTGGGTTCTCGCCTATAACAAACATCTGGCAGTTCACCAATATTTCGTTCAAGCGAGTGCAACTTTACCGATGGAACAATTAATGTCGAAACCGGTCCAGAGTTTGCTCGTGTTGAATCAATGCTGCTGAAATTACGCACTCCCAGAAGGCGCCTATTAAAACGTCTATTTAATTAAGTATAACGTGTTGTCTATATTTATTTAAAGTTGCGCATTTTGATGTGAAGTCACATTTCTCACACCCCCACCTCGTCACACATCGTCACAAATGTCTGACCCTCCCCCTTCCCCATAGGTGCGTGACATCATTTATGGACAGCCCCCGATGGGATCTGTAAACGAAACACGTTTAATTTGCCACATCGATGGACTTATATGTCTGTGCAGCAGACGTACTATCTGCCGCTCTGTGTTGTTACGACTTTCATTCTCCACGACCACGCTCATGATCGAGTTCATCTCAAGAACGTTTTTAAAAAATTCCCGGAATCTCAGAAGCCACAGCCCCCAGTGGTGGGCCGACAGGGGGTGGGGGGTGGGGGCTGGCATCCCTTGTGACGTCACCGTCGCGGGTGGGGTGGGTTGGGGTGGGGCGGGGGCGGGTTGCCGGACTTTGCGACCCTACATGGGCACGGGACGCGCGCGAGCTCCGAGTCGCTTCGCGTCTTCGGGACGCCCCCGAGGCAATCGGCAGCGAATCTCTTCGTCTCTCCCGCGCCGCCCGTTCGTTGGTCGCCCCGGGGGCAGACGCACGTGCTCAGAGAGACAGCCGCAGAGAGGCCGAGTGGCGCCTTCACCCCATCGACTTGGGGGGGGGGGGGTAGAGGCTCCTCGATAGGGGAAGGGGACAGCCGCAGAGAGGCGAAGCGGTGCCGTAGCCACCTTGGCCAGGGGACAAAGTTTAGCTCGCAAACTCCGGTGGGAGGCCAATCAGCTTCAAAGGCAACTGCCGTGTAGCATTACTGCCAGAGCACGTGTTTGTTTGCACGCTCACCAACAAGCACTGCGGCGTGGTTAACGCAGACGCGATTCCTTGCAAAAAAAAGGTTTCTGTTTGGCGTTTGAACATCTCAACACCTTTTCTTGGTTCTTTCGGTAAAGTCACGTACAAGGGAAATAATAAAATAATATAAGTAAAACAATAAAATTCTCACGACGTTTCGATTGCAACACAAGCAATCATCATCCGTTTACGCGACTTTACCGATAGAACCAAGAATATGAATCCCTGCAGTCACGAAAGCTTTAAATCAACACGTCTTGTATTGCCAGAGAGGGTGACACACTCTCACACTTGGCGGACGAGCGCCGGGGTGACGCTCTCTGAAAACGTTGCCGCGTTCAGAAGTTCTCAGAGGCGCGGTTCACCAACTCCCCCTCCCTCCACCACACACCCACCACCCACCTCCCCCCCCACCACACACCTCCCCCCACCACCCACCTCCCCCCCCACCACACACCACCTCCCACCACACACCACCCCCCCACCACCCACCTCCCTCCCCCCACCACACAATCACCCCCCCACGACAAACCTCCCCCCCACCACCCACCTCTCCCCCCACCACCCACCTCCCCCCCCCCACCACACACCCCCCCACCACACACCCCCCCACACACCACCCCCCACCACACACCTCCCCCCCACCACACAATTACCCCCCCACCACACACCACCCCCCACACAACCACCCCCCCCCCACCACACACCTCCCCACCACACACCTCCCCCCCCACCACCAACCTCCCTCCCCCCACCACAACCACCCCGTACAAAGATGGCCGCCGAGTAGAGCGGCCGTGACGACGCCGCCGATTGGTCGAGGCGCGGCCCCCCCTCCCCCCTCCCCCCGCCGGTCTGGCTGTGAAAGCGGCGCCTCAGTCGCTCCGCAGTGTGCCCGGTGCTCGTGGTGGTGGTGCTCTTCCTCCTCTAACGCCGCATCCTCCTCTCGTTCACTTCTCCTCACGACAGCTCCAGGGGGAATCGGCTCCTTCGCCACGCCGCGCGCACCATGCCCTACGAGCTGAGTGAGTTCCGCGGGGCGGTGAACGGGGTGAGGCCTGCGCGATTTAGCTACCCCGAGTTCATTCACCGGTCTCGACTAGCGGGGCTGGCCGAGCTGGGGGCCGCCTTGGCCGGCAGCGCCGGGCGCAGCGAGTGCCCCCTTCCCCCATGTTACGGCTCATTGCCCGCGCGTGTTTATTGCTCCGTGTTTTTGTTGTGAAATACGTTGCTTTGTAGCCACTGAGTTGAAGTTGCCGACGATAACTCATCGCTTTACCGTTGCTTAAGTTAATCACGGGACGTGCTTAGAAAGGGCTGGATGTTTCTGTTAGGGTTACGACATAAAGCGTATACTGTACCAATGTTTTGGTTTATTTAACGCGTAAGACGTTTAGGCTACAGCAAGTATGGGCTGCATCTGTAAGGGAATCTGCCTTCTCTGTTCTGAAGAAATGCAACAATCTGCAATGTTCGATACTTTTTGCTATGTGTTAACGAAGAACGTGATGTTTATGTATTGTTGTACTGCACTGTGCACGTATAAATCGCTTAGTTTCATTTCTATGTTTCGGTCGAAAAATGTTTCATTCGACTAAAACTCACACACAATCGACTGGGATGGTGAAACGAATCTTCGAACAGAAAGTATCACACCACAGAGGACAAACATCGCCCCCCCCTTGTTACAATGCACGGAATTTGGTTCTGAATGAGGATGAAGACGTGTGGTGTTGTTATTACAAAGCGTTCATTATCCCAACTCGTACGACTGCACACATGGAAACTTGGTGACTGCGTTGACAACAAAAACATCGCGTTTCCTTATTTTATTTTGTTAAAAACCGACGTCTTAGCTGATGTCCCTTCTCCCCCTCGGCACTGATTTAAATGGCACGCTACGTGTATCGCGATGAAGGCTGCTGCTGTTGTTGTTGTTTGTGTGGCAGAGCCGTTGTTGTTGTTGTTTGTGTGGCAGAGCCGTTGTTGTTGTTGTTTGTGTGGCAGAGCCGTTGTTGTTGTTGTTTGTGTGGCAGAGCCGTTGTTGTTGTTGTTGTTTGTGTGGCAGAGCCGTTGTTGTTGTTGTTGTTTGTGTGGCAGAGCCGTTGTTGTTGTTGTTTGTGTAGCAGAGCCGTTGTTGTTGTTGTTTGTGTAGCAGAGCCGTT